CTAAATCAGGACTAAATCAGGTCTAAACCAGGTCTAAACCAGGTCTAAACCAGGTCTAAACCAGGACTAGACCAGGACTAAACCAGATCTAAACCAGGACTAGACCAGGTCTAAACCAGGTCTAAACCAGGACTAAACCAGGACTAAACCAGGATTAAACCAAGACTAAACCAGGACTAATCTTGGACTTGAGAAAGAGGGAGGGGTCACGGGCACACCTTCGGGCCCGTCCCAACACTCAGTCCTGTTTTAGTCCTAGTTTGTAGTCTGTTTGTTGTCCTTTCTCCAAATGTTGTTTGCGCCATTTTATAACTTACTTAGTGAAGAAGTCGGACTGCAGAGGGCGCTGTTGTCCTGCCTCCACCGGCAGGAAGACAGCACCAAAGTCTGTCAATCAGTCAATCAATTAAGCTTTATTTATAGAGCGCTCTTCATACAAAAAATGCAACACAAAACACTTACAACACAAAGAGCAAAGTCTGTTTAAATCAGATGACCAGACACGTCATAGTAACAAGACCGTGAGGTGAGCAATCTAATCTAATCAATCTATAATCTATAATCTATAATATAAGAGTAACCTAAATATCGCAATATCGTATCATCAAAAATTTCACAATAATATCATGGGTCATCACAATTAGGGCTGTACAAAAATATCAAAATATCACTATATATTGTATCATTTAATGTGATCATACTATATCGATATCATGGGCTGCTGTATGGAGTATTTTTGGGTATATTTTACTAAATTATTTCGTTATAGCTACAGTTTTGTTGCTTGTTTAGAAAAAGGAAACTCATTTATGTGACACATTTCACATTTTCACTGTTTTGATGATTAAGATGTTTGTGTTTCATATGAACTTTGCACAAGAAGTGGTTTAACAAAGACTTCATTATCACAGCCATGATTTAGACTTTATTTTTTATTGAACCTCATCGAATTGATTTGAAATTTATCATATTGAATCGAAAGCTCATTGTATTGAGATACGTATACAATATGTATCGTATCCACTACTTCTCAATGATTCCCAGCCCTACTCACAACATATCGAATTACCTTTTGCTTTTATGTCTTTTTTGTCTTTTATTCTTATTTTTCTTTTCTTTTATTTATCATTTATTTATTTATTTATATATTAATTTATTTATATTTTATGTATTTATATATTTATTTATTTTATTTTTATTTTTTATTCATAATTTTTTCATATATTTTTTTTTATTTTATTTTATTATAATTTTTTTTATTTTTTTATTTTCTTGGTTTGCTTTTTTTTTCTTTTCTTTTTTTAGGTCTTTTTTGTGATTTCAGTGTCTTTCTTAATCTTTAAAGCACTTCGAATTACTTTGTGTATGAATTGTGCTATACAATAAATAAACTTGCCATGGTGCACCTCTCGCTAAAAAACAGAGGGAACTACATAGACCATGATCCTTTGGTGTTGTCAGTGCAGACTACATGAAGAAACAACTGTTATTAAGCAGGAATTAACAGTACCAAAAGTTTTTCAAGGTTTTTAAGTGGTTAGACTTGTTCAGATAAAACTCACTGGGCTATGTAAGCTCTTTTTTGTATTAAAATGGTAAAATGAGGCAATTCTCGCAGAAGAAATGGCAGCTCACCCTGGCCTGTTTTAAACCTAATTAAGTGTTACCAGTCGTTTTGTGAATGTGCATTGTGTAAAATATTTCCATGATATCATTCTCAGACAATAGACTTTTAAAGGTGAATGAACACAGTCATTGGCACTCCTCTTGTGAGCACATAATGATGCATGAGTAGGCACTTTTCTCCAGTAATTCCTGTTTTCAGCCGCAACAACAGTGGCCTACCTCATCTGTATATCAACGCCAAAGTGAAAGCTAACATGCTAATTACCGCCAACCTCCGGGGTCACGTCCGGACGGCCCTCACCGCGCCTCTAATCACGTTGCACTTAGAGTCATTTGGCAAATTGGCTGAAGTGAAATCATCCATATACGTTATTATGCTAATGGAAGGAGTTCAGAGACAAATCACAGCAGGTATGAAACGCACAGAGAAAGATTTAAGAAAACTCTAAAGTGAGATGCACAGTATATCACAATCAAGCATCAAAAATCAAAAGCACCACTGCAAAATCTGAGAAAACTGTAATCTTAACAGCAACTATCCATCTTTCCATTTTCTTCTGCGTTATCCGGGGTTTGGTCGCCAGGGCAGCAGCCTAAGCAGGGACTCCCAGACTTCCTTCACCCCGGACACTTCCCAGGCCAGCCCAGAGACTCCAGCACGTCCTGGGTTTTCCTCGAGGCCTCTGGTGGGACATGCCTGCCACAACTCCCACCCAAAATAATAAAATGTTTTGAGTTTTAAAAAGATAATGTTCCATGAGTTTAGTCTAATGAGGTTCATTTGGTCTTCCGATAATTGCTGTTATTAGGTTATGTTTTCAGACCAAGTTTGTTTTCGTACCTGACAGTTTCGACTGCTCATTAGCGGTCTTCCTCAGAGTGGTCACGTGATGTTGCTGTGGCATGTCTCTCAGCTGATTTAAACAGGTTTTGGCGCTGTCTTCCTACCGGAGGAGGCAGAATGACAGCGCCATCTGCAGTCCAACTTCCTCAGTCCATAATTTTACTTAAAGAAGACCTATTGTATTTGAGTCTATGACACCCGTGGATCATTATGTTATATTTTGGACATTTTAAATTTCAATATTCACCTAAAACAGTGTTGCAGTAAAGTCTTCACAACAAAGAGCCGTGAAGTTGACGGCACTTCTGATGGACAGCTGCAAATGGCAAAGATGTAGCAAGCAGCAGGCTTTTTTTATCTGTAGTAAAATGACTAAGACGCTGCAAAATCCTACATGTATCACTGATCAGTAAAATAAAATTGGTACAGAACAGAGCGGTGGCCGTAGTCAGTGGGAGTTGATTGGCAATTTGGCGTCGTGAAAATAAGCAATTAAAGAGAGAGAAAAAAAAATCTCAATAAAATTTGACTTTGACCACAAAAAGTATCTACAACTAACCAGGTCCAGCTGGTAAGGACTAAACCAGGACTAAACCAGGACTAAACCAAACTGACCCCAGACTTAACTTTATATATTGTTTTTAGTCGAGTTCTAACTTTGTCAGCAAAACTTTGGAGTGCAGAGCCAGTGTTTTGTGCAGTGCTGCTGTTTTCACTGGAAATGACATTAGATAAAGTGGTTCGGAGCCAGACACTGCAGAGGAGATGCGCAAAGGTTATGACTGGACTTTGATATAGAGATGGACAATATGGCCGTGAAGTGCACTTTAGTTCACTTCTAAAACTTGACAAATAAGCAGTTTTTAAGCATACATTTTGCACCCGGTTGTTTACTATAATTAATATTGTGTGTTTAGAGGGGAAAACTGTTAAAAATCTATTGTTAAATTTTTAAATGGGTGTGTATGTTTAAGTGAGGTTGCAGTATTTGTAAAATAAATCTTCCTGAAAATGTTTAGTGTGGTTGTTTGGATGTTATAGATGGGACAAGATCTTGTGATATAAAACTGTCACAAGACTGTGCTCACAAGATGAAAAAGATCTTGTGATGTTCCCCCCATGTGTTTTTACATTGATTGGTTGATTGTTTTTTATTTTGAGTTTGTGCCAAGAGAGAAAAAATAATCATATATACTACATACACATTGTAAACAACAGAAAAGCACATTTCTCGAAAAGGAGTGGACATTCTGATTGGACAAAAAAGGAATAAGTGTTGGTGAGTTACACCTTTTGAGAGGATCTATTTCCAAAACACAATGGTATAATGACAACAAAAACAACAAAAATGTTAGGCCAAAATTATGAACTAGATTGCACAATTTATTTATTACAAATTACATCAAAATCTCATCTTATCTTGTTCTCGTCCTGGGTTTTCCTCGGGGTGTTGGGTGGGACATGCCCGTCACAACTCCCACCTAAAAGCAGCTAAACATAAAAATAAAATGTTTTGAGTTAGAAAGATAATTAAAAGATAATGGTCCATGATTTTACTTAAAAAAAATACCTATTTTGTTTGTTGCTATTTTTATATACACCTGTGGATTGTTATGTTTTATTTTAGACATTTTAAATGTCAATATTCACCTAAAACAATGGTGCTTTAAAGTCTTCACAACAAAGAGTCATGAAGTTGTCAGAACCTCTGATGGACAGCTGCAAATGGCAGTAGCAAGCAGCAGAGTTTTTTTTTTTTTTTTTGTACATGTATTACCAATTAATAAAATGTTAATAAATAAATATAATGACAACAAAAACAACAAAAATATTAGGCCAAAATTACATAAAAATCTCGTCTTATCTTGTTCTCATCCTGGGTTTTCCTCGGGGCCTCTGGTGGAACATGCCCACCACAACCTACCCACACCTAAAAGCAACTAAACATAAAAATAAAATGTTTTGAAAGTTAATTAAAGGGTAATGGTCCATGATTTTACTTAAAGAAGACTTATTGTACTTGAGTGTGTGACACCCATGGATCATTATGTTATATTTTGGACATTTTAAATCTCAATATTCACCTAAAACAATGTTGTCGTAAAGTCTTCACAACAAAGAGTTGTGAAGTTTGCAGTACCTCTGATGGATAGCTGCAAATGGAAAGCAAGCAGCAAGTAGCAGACTTTTTTTTTTTTTAATTGTACCAAAATGACTACGATGCTGCCGAATCCTACGTGTATCACCAATTAATAAAATGACAAAAACAACTAAAATGTTAGGCCAAAATTATGAACTAGATTACGCAATTTATTTATAAATTACATCAAAATCTCGTCTTGTTTTGTTCTCATGGACCCAGTCTCGTGTCTCTTCTCGACTTGTGGGAATTGTGTCTTGTCCCTTTACTGGATATATTTTTTTTTTCTGTTGCGGATGTTAAATGAGCAGATAGCATCATGTTACGGTTACTATTTCGACAGTATCATCTAAAAACTCTTGTATTAAAATGTGATTCTTGTCCCTGCAGTCAGACGGTGGACCTCTTGATGCAGGAGTCCGGCTGTCGACTGGAGCATCCTTCAGCCACAAAGTTTCGGAACCACGTCATGGAGGGAGAGTGGGACAAGGTGAGCAGCGCCCCCTGGTGGTAGATCAAATTTCACATGTGTTGATGTTTCTCTCTTTTATAATAAGCATTTCTTGACGTAGTTTTCTTTCCACAATTGTCCTGCAACCTCCCACACGTTTTCCTAATATAGTAAATGCGCATGCTCCCATCTCAGATCTTATTTATTATGCGTTTTCTGGCATTTCTAAATACATTTGATACTCCCAATATTGTGTTGTAACTTGAAATAATGATATATATAAGAAAAAAGTAGCGCTCAGGTCAAAAACAATATCCGATTACTCAAAATTTGATTAATGACAGTCATAAAAATCATCGCGGTGATTTTTATATCATTATTTAAACATGTCAAAACTGTCTAATTTCACTGCGAAGGCCTTGGAAAAATGTAATAGTCAACAATAAGCAGAGTTGGGAAGGTGACTTTTAAAATATATTCCTCTACAGATTACAGATTACATACCCCAAAATGTAGTTTGTAACATAATCCATTAAATTACCTAAAGTGAGTAACGTAATCTGAATACTTTGGATTACTTGATATTGTCATGTTTTTTAAAACTACATGAACGTACCAACCACATCCTGAAAATTCATGTTTGTTCTCTTCAAATTGTCTGTTGAGCTCAAGTCTCCATGAACAGACTTTTGTTTTACTGTAAAGAATCAAATACTAGGAAATCTTAACATGAGGTGTTTTCTCTGCTAAAAGAAATAAAAAGCCCAGACTTTATTTAACCAGATTAAAAATATTATTGATAGAGAAATTATTTTTATATGAGATCACTGCTGCCTTAAAGTATGTCCATCCCACTGTTAGGTGTCATATTGACCTGGACCTGGTTTTAGACCTGATTTAGTCCTGGTTTAGACCTGGTTTAGCCCTGGTTTTAGTTCTTGTTTAGTCCTGGTTTTAGTCCTGGTTTAGTCCTGGTTTAGTCGTGGTATAGTCGTGGTTTAGTCCTGGTTTTAGTTCTTGTTTAGTCCTGGTTTTAGCCCTGGTTTTAGTCCTGGTTTAGCCCTGTTTTTAGTCCTGGTTTTAGTCTTGGTTTTAGTTCTTGTTTAGTCCGGGTTTAGTCCTGGTTTAGTCCTGGTTTTATTCCTGGTTTTATTCCTGGTTTTAGTTCTAGATTAGTCCTGGTTTAGTCCTGGTTTTAGTTCTAATTTAGTCCGGGTTTAGTCCTGGTTTTAGTTCTAGTGTAGTCCTGGTTTTAGTCTTGGTTTTAGTTCTAGTTTAGTCCGGGTTTAGTCCTGGTTTTATTCCTGGTTTTAGTTCTAGTTTAGTCCGGGTTTAGTCCTGGTTTAGTACTGGTTTTAGTCCTGGTTTAGCCCAGAATGTGAAAACAGGAAAACACCACCGTGTAATCCATTTATTTCAACAAAGTAACTGTAATCCAATTACCACTCACTGAAACTGTAACTGAATACAGTTACTCATAATTTGTACTCTGATTACTTAACTCCGGTACATGTAATCTGTTACTCCCCAACACTGACAGTAAGTGTGTATTGTACAAACGACAGAAACACGCCCTCTGCTGAGAACAGTGGGGATTATTTTGACGCAGTTAAACCGGACTAAAAATAGTAACTAGAATCAAAGCTGGTTATCATTAATAAGAGAAGATTTCACCACCTAAATGATCAGATTTATGAGATTTATGATGAGTCAGTGAAGGCGCATGGACTTTAAAAACACAGAGGAGAAACAACACAATCCCAGGTTTGTTTTTGAACAGTTAAAGAAATTATTTTTGCGTAATATGAGACCTTTACGAATACAAGAATGCGATGTCCTAAAGCCCCGAGATATGACTGAAACTGAAATAATATTATCACATCAGGGAGAACAATGCCCTTGCTCTGTTAGGTCAAAGTCATGTGATGTTATTTTTAGATTTTTATGTCTCACCTTGAACCAAACATCTGTCTCTTATTAACCTGCCCGCGTGGAGATTAATGATGCGTCCAAACGTGCCGATATTTGTGAATTACGGCCATGTGTTTGCACGGAGGGTGAATCGATAAATGATCTGTTCTGTTGTCGTGTTGTGTTATGTGACTGCTTCTTTACAAATAAAATAAATGAAAGGTGAAATAATTGTTAGTTTTTTGGGGTTTCTTTCAGGCTGAGAGTGACTTGAACGAGCTGAAGGCGCTGATGCATTCTCCCAGCGCTATTGTGGTAAGTAACATTTAAAAAAAGTACGGTGTAGCCCACTTTTATTCTCACGAGAGTTGTGGGGTCCTCTGTGTCTATTATTGTTTTGTTTTATTGATTTTATTTATTTCATCATCATCATCTTTATTATTCCAGACTCATGGTCCATTTTATAAAACAGACAAGAACAGTGACGATACAAACACAATAAACATTCATGTTTTTAAAAGACAACCACACCAGTGTCTCCACTAGGGCTGGGTATCATTAAGGAGTTGCCGATACGATACATACCTCGATACACAGGCTGCGATACGATACATATACCGATACAGTGCACTTTCGATTCGATATGATATAATTCAAATCGATTCGATACAGTTCAATAAAAAATAAAGGCTAAATCATGGCTGTGATACTAAAAGTGTTTGTTAAACCACTTCTTGTGCAAAGTTCATATGAAACACAAACATTTTAATCCTCAAAACAGTGTCAAAATGTCAAATGTGTTGCATAAATGAGTTTCCTTTCACTCCACAAGCAACAAAACTGTAGCACTGTAACAAAATAATTTAGTAAAACACACGTAAAAATACTCTTGGTGATATATCGATACAGTAGCCCACGATATCAATACTGTATCATCACATTAAACGACACGATATATCGATATTCCGATATTTTTGCACACCCCTAGTCTCCACATACTGGACTGATATCTTTTTGCACTGAATCTCAGATTTGTGAGTGACATTATTATTTAATTGTCTGATTTGTTCAGTCTGCAGATAAAACTGTACATTAAAATTCTTAGTGCAGCTTGCAAAGTGTTCACTCGTGCAGTAACAAACATTTCAGTCGCACTCGTCCATCGTGGCCTCCTCAAAAACACCGTAAAGCGTCATTGTAGGCACCTGCAGTCTTTGCAAACTGGCTTTTTTATAATTAGTCCAGAGGTGAGCTGTGTACAACGGTGAACAACATGATTTAAACAATAACAACTTTACTTCATTTGTACAAGAACCAAACTTACGCATAAAAGTATTTGCCTGAGCATAGAGCATCCTACACTGTCTATTAGGGATGGGCATTATTAGTCGATTTAATCAATAATTGATCATTAAGAATTTCATCGATTATGTTAATTTTAATCAACAAACCAAATGTAGGTTGCTGTGGGTAGTGTGACCAAACGGAGGTCCGTACAAGTAGCTCTCTGCACTCAGAAGGAGCGAGACACAAACAGTCAGTCCACCTGCAACGTACTGAAGTGCATATGCGTATTTAACGATGATGACAAGAAATTCCAGGCTTTCCGTTCCGGTCGGGACATGTGAGTCCATGTGCACAGTGTATAAAGCAGCACATATGTTTCGGTGTCCAGTGGGAAAAAGTTTTGACAAACGCAAATCTGGTCACACTAACCTGTATTCCACTGAGTCATGTCTTTTAATCCGACAGAAAGTTGACCGCATCAGCGACATAAGAGCTGTATTTTTATCTTCGCTTAGTTTATGCAAATTAGTGATGCAGTTTTAAGTTTTGTTTCTGTGAGAGTTGCGCAAAACTGAATTAAACATATTATAATGTCAAACGGGCTGATGTGGCTCTAGAGTGGTTATGGTTTATATGTCGTCAAGTTGAATTTATTTATGCAGATTAGTGCAGATAGTAATAATAATGATGATAATTTTAATATAAAAACGTCAATGATTAATTGATAATCGATCATTAATTCTTCGGACGATCGATTAAGAAAATTTCATCGAATGCCCATCCCTACTGTCTATACATATCATCATCATCTGTCATGTCCGCAGTGATGATCTGCCCGAGATATTTAATTTTTGTTGTAACAGACAACACAACATTTGACAGGCAAAAGTCAGGAAATCTCATGTGCTTATCTTCTTTGGCCCTGCAGATCATGACCAGACTCTTGGTTGCATTATACTTTAGATCATGCTCCACACTGTAAGATGAACAGATGTTAAGTAGCTGCTGGAGACCAGTGGTGCTCGGACTGAAAACTAAACTGAAACCAAATCATCTGCATACATTAAATGATTCACAACAAGATTTCCACAACAAGATATTTATTCTTATAGGTTTATTTCACTTTGGAAACAGTCTTTCTTTATAAAATGTGTTGTAGAAATAAAGTGGATTGGACTGGACAAAATAACACAACTGAACCTTGGTTGCCACTGTCCTAACCTGCAGATAAAAGACACATTCTCAGTGTATCGACAGCTCAAGCCTCAAATGAAACCTCCAGAATTCACTGAGCTGTAAAACTAGCCCTGATTAATGATTGTTTGTAGGTACTGGGGTTTAGATAGTGATGATTCAGATCAGAGAGACGCCTTTTAGGTTTAAACCGACTGGATTTAGGTGTAGGAACTGGCAACCCAAACGAGAGACTCATTTATGGCTTGTTCTGCTTTCTGATTGGATAATTGTCTTAAGAAACAAAACACCAAAAATTATAACATAAATAAATAAGACATGAGGTAAACCCGTTATCTACTACTGAGCATGGGGCTGCTTCTGGCTCCACTGACCCGGATCTAATTTACTTTTTACATAGAAAAATTGTCCCTCTCTTTATAACCGCTGCAGTGAGCATCGTTGTGTTGGTTTTGAAATGTTCGTATTAACCAGCTCTACATAATCCTGGTGTTTTTATTTTGCTAAATAAATTCCTATTCTTAATATGAAATTCGGCTTCGAATTCACTCCTATAATTGTGGCTTCAGTGAGCTTCATTTGACTGGAGTCGATTGCTATGGTTGACAGTCCTTTAGTCCAATTCTCTATATGCTCGATAAGCAGAAAGCAACATTTCAGTAACAAATTCATAATTTAAGTTCATAATTTAACCTTATCCTAAACTTATATTGTACAGAAAAACATCCAAAAATGTCCTGCTACTGTAAAAATGTGCCCATGATTAATATTGACCCTCAAACATGACTGTTTCATCTATCATGTATTGACTAAGATAGATGGATAGACATATATATTAAAAAAAAACAATGACAGTGGCTTGAGCTCATCTGGTTCAATTCCGGGAGACAGAAGGATTTTTTTTGTACATGAACAGTAATTATCGTGACCTACTCTTTGAATGTAAACCCCTTTTGAATTGTGTCCGTGTGCGTTTGCAGAGGATGAAGTTCCTGTTGCTGCAGCAGAAGTACCTGGAGTTCCTGGAGGACGGGAAGGTTCTGGAGGCTCTGCAGGTTCTGAGGGCCGAGCTCACTCCTCTGAAGTACAACACTGAGAGGATACACGTGCTCAGCGGGTCAGTCACAACTAATATTAAAGCTCTTATATTATGTAAAATTGATTCTTGTGTGTTTTAAATCATGTTAGAATGTTGATATTTTATCAATAACAGACCTGGAGTTGTGTTTTTTTTCATTCACACATGTTTGAGTAAATCTGTCTGCATCTCCAAAGCTCAAAATTGCTCCTTGTGATGTCATGAAGTGTTTTCCAGTTAACAGCAACCATTTAGGCTGCAAGATTAATTGCAAAAGAAACAAATGTAATCAAAAACATTTTACAAATCACTGTTGTTGTTTTTTTCAGTACCACAATTTCCTCCACAAAATGCTAAATATCTTATTTTGCATAAAAACTGCTAACCTTGTAGTTTTCAGAACAAATATGTTCTGAAATGTGATTCTTGTATCAGTCTGTCAGTTCAGATTTCAGTATTTTTGTTCATTCTTTGAACAGAATACTATTATTGAAACATAACTTGCAGGAGAGAAAAATCACACTTGCATATTTTCCCAAATCCTGCAGCTGTAGTAGAAAACAGAAAGATGTCATTGCACATTTGTTTTTTAATGAAGAGTAAAGCAAAATCCCCTTCTCAGAGCAGTTTGTTGTTGTCTTGAGCCAGAGGAAAGCTGACTTTCTCAAAGTCTCAGGCCCCTCCTTCAGCGTTACCTTGGAGCTTGTTTCATCAATAACTGATATGACAGTTACACTAATATAAAAGCATGTGTTTGTTTTCTCAACAAACCTCTTATTTGGCCTGGAGGCAGCCTCCACCTGTTTGTTCCCATGGAAATTTTGTTCTTTGGCCATAATCTTTCCAGTTGGCTACAGAGTAAAACTTTTCTATATCCATGGAGAATGTTCCATGAAATCATGAAGGTGTGATGTGTGTGTCATACATTGAGTTCTACACATTATCAGTCTGGACTCGCTGGACGTGACTGGGAAAAGGTGGAACGTCGTGACGAGTATTTGAATCTGATTGGTCGAAGCGTCACAACATCAGAACAAGTCGGAAAATCAAAGTTTTGTTACATCCAGCACAAAGCACAGACATCTTCCCTGTTCACAAATGCACAAAGCTCTTCACTCTGCATGTTTTTCACAAACTAGTCTGTGTTTTCACCAAAATAGGCAGAAGTATGTCAGTTGGCATTTTGACCTTGGCCTGGGAGCCTGCCAATTCTCAAGAGTTTGTGAAGTCACAATATCTCGAAACTCCATCTTGCTGTGCAGGGTCAGCAGGTGACATACCGCCTCCAGAAAGTTACATACATTTAGTGAAGTTAATGCACATTTCCTTTCCCATTGCAGGTTTATTCACTGTAACACACAATAGAGTCAGATATATTCTTCTATCCATTTATCATATATTATTCACCGCCATATCACTGCTAACACGTTGTCCTGCACATTGTAAATGAAGGGCTCTGGTGTTAAATGCTGAGCACTGGTGCAGCGGGGGCGACTGTTTGAGGAGCCCTGTTGAAAATAGTAGTAAGATTTTTTTTTTAAAGTGTGGCAAATATGAGTCACTGTAGCTGCAGGGCTGAGTAATACAGGGCACTTTAGGGGCACTTTTTGTGAGACTTAAGATGAGAGAAACTGGGCAGAAAGAGAACAGTTTGTCCTCAAAGTGCTAGGAGCTGGACAAATTAAAAACTTTGTCAGTCCTCCTGGATTAGACCTGGTTTAGTCCTGCATTAGACCGAGTTTAGTCCTGGGTTAGACCTGGTTTAGTCCTGGGTTAGTCCTGGGTTAGACCTGGTTTAGTCCTGGGTTAGACCTGGTTTAGTCCTGGGTTAGAACATCATGATTGACAAATATTGACACCATGACAACAACAATATGGAATTTCCTAATGTTCATTCATAACCCTTGTTAATACATGTGAAAGAAAGTAAGAAAGTGAAGTTAACATGGTTTAAACAGATTTTTCGTCATACATGTTTTTTTTGTTTGTTTGTTTGTTTGTTTGTTTGGGTTTTTTTGGAGTATAGATAGGATTAAAATGACTTAAAGCCGGTATCTAATTTTGTAGCTAAAAGATTGCAAGAAATCTGGCTGAGTATGTTGCACTGAAAAACACAGAAAACATGTGTCTTCTGTCTCTTACTCTGAATCAACTTGCATTTCCACAAACCTGACTCTTATTTGCCCAGGAGGAGGGCCTCTTTCTGCTTGTTTCCATGGAAATGTAAACAAAACAGTTTCCAAAGTGCTGCATAGAGATGTGCAGATGACAATAAATAAAACAACAGAGCATGAGTATGCTCAATTTAACCGAGCCAGCCCTAAAACACTGACACCAGAGAAGTTAAATAAAAGCAAAACCCATTAAATAGCAATAAATAAATAAATAAAATCAATAAAATTATTTAAAACATAATAATAAAGATTAACCCAGTAATTTTGATATTCCTGCTCGACTTACACTTCGTTTGGTTCTGGTTCAGTTCACTGATCTTAAAATGTTATGTGTATCATATAGTACAGGTCCTAAAAGGTATATAAACTCTGTATTTATTGTATTGTGCAGGTACCTGATGTGCAGTCACGCTGAGGACCTCCGAGCCAAAGCCGACTGGGAGGGAAAAGGCACCGCGTCTCGGACCAAACTCCTGGACAAACTACAGAGTGAGTGATTCTGATTTACACGACACAAACAATAGGTTGTGTTTACAAACACTACACTAATTTTTCCAGTTATTTATTGCAATTCAAGTCATGCAAGTTTAATGAAGAGCTTGAAATGGTGTAAAGGTAAATACTGAACAGACAGAGGTTTTAAAAAAAGATAAAAGATACAAAACACAAGTCCAAGCTCTGCTAAAACTACCTTGGGAAAAAAGAACAAGATGGTAAAGCTTGAAAACATGGAGTGTCCAGGCCTAAACCTCATGGAGCTGGTTTGGGATGAACTGGACAGAAGAGTGAAAGCCAAGAAACCTACAAGTGCCACACATTTATGAGAACTTCTGCGACAGACTTGGGAAGAACTTTCTGAAGAATATTTGATTTCTATTGTAAAAAGAACAATCCACGAGTGTGTTCAGCTGTTATACCTGCCAAAGGTGGACACTTTCATGAATCAAAAGTTTAGAATACGTTTTGGTCAACACTAAACCGTAAACAGTAAAAACAATTGGTAAAAATGTGGTGTTCTAAAACATTTGAACAGTAGTGTCACAATAATCCTGATAAAATGGTGTCTGAGTGGGTGGTACCGTCAGCTCACAGCGAAAAGGGCCTTTCTGTGTGGAGTTTGTATGTTCTCCCATCCTGTGTTCTCCCAAAAATGCAGGACAGGTTGTGCCTATAGTTAGATCTGTTACAATTGATTATTGTAGTAGTCGAATAGTCATTTTTTCGGTTAATATGAACTGCTGAAAATGTGTGTCTGACACATCACCACCAAGAACGGTGACAACTCTGAGGATGGCTCACAGCTCGCAGCTCACAGCGAAAACATGTCAAGGTAAACACGTCTCACTAACAAAGATGCCTGCCCAAAATAAAACCGGTGTGACAAAGTTTATGTCACAACAAGGAACATTCCAGGCAAGGCAATAACATCTCCATGGGGACGAGCATGAAATCCCCTTCACCAGAAAAGTTATCTAGTGCCAAGTTTTTGTAAAAGCAAGCAGATTTCTGACTGTGTCCTGTGTGTGTGTGTTGGATGATTGTGTGTGGTTGTATGGAAATGAGGGACTTTAATAATGATTGTGAAGCATTTTATAAAGATTTGTTTTGTGTCCACAGCGTACCTGCCCCCCTCGGTGATGCTGCCCCCTCGGAGGCTCCAGACTCTGCTCAAACAGGCCGTGGAGCTGCAGAGGGAGCGCTGTCTGTACCACAACACCAAACTGGTCTCAGGACTGGACTCTGTGTCTCTGCTGCTCGACCACACCTGCAGCCGGTAACTCTAATAGATCTATCTGTTTTTATAATCATATGAAAACTAGATCTGCTCTCTGCTCTCTGCTTTCTGGTCTCTGCTTTCTGGTCTCTAGTCTCTGCTGTAGTCTCTGGTCTCTGCTTTGGTCTCTGCTTTGGCCTCGTCTCTGGTCTCGTCTTTGGTCTTGTCTCTGGTCTCTGCTTTTTTTCTCTGGTCTGGTCTCTGGTCTCTAGTCTCGGGTCTGGTCTCTGGTCTCTGATCTCTGGTCTCGTCTCTAGTCTCGTCTCTGGTCTCTAATTTGGTGTCTGCTCTGGTCTTGTCTCTTGTTTCTGATCTGGTCTCTCTCTGCCCTGGTCTCTGCTCTGGTCTCTGCTCTGGTCTCTGCTCTGGTCTCTGCTCTGGTCTCTGCTCTGGTCTCTGCTCTGGTCTCTGCTCTGGTCTCTGCTCTGGTCTCTGCTCTGGTCTCTGCCCTGGTCTCTGCTCTGGTCTTCTGCTCTGGTCTGCTCTGGTCTCTGCTCTGGTCTCTGCTCTGGTCTCTGCTCTGGTCTCTGCCCTGGTCTCTGCCCTGGTCTCTGCTCTGGTCTCTGCCCTGGTCTCTGCCCTGGTCTCTGCCCTGGTCTCTGCCCTGGTCTCTGCTCTGGTCTCTGCTCTGGTCTCTGCTCTGGTCTCTGCTCTGGTCTCTGTTCTGGTCTCTGATCTGGTCTGCTCTGGCGTCTAGTCTCAGGACTCTGTTGCTCGACCACACCTGCAACAAGTAACTGCAGTTATTATGAAAACTTGGTCTGGTCTTTGGTCTGGTCTGGCCAAATCTTGCGCTTTAAATGTGCTTTTTGAACATGCAAGTTATGGATATTAGTCATCACATAACTGGTCAGTCTCTTGAATTCCTAATATTAGATTTTTTTGAAAGAATCTATGGGAAAAATCAATGTTTCTGTTGAGCTCCAGTCATTTTCTAATATTCAGCTTACTCACTACTACATATGACCTATTGTTTGATACATGTATTGATAACTATATAAGTAATCCTTGTTTATTTTTTATTTTTAGGAAGCAGTTCCCGTGCTACACTCAGCAGATCCTGACTGAACACTGTAACGAGGTTTGGTTTTGTAAATTCTCCAACGACGGAACTAAACTGGCCACAGGCTCAAAAGACACAACCGTCATCGTGTGGCAGGTCGACCTGGTGAGCCGAGCATCTCTTTACTCTGGGCAAAGAAAGACCTAAATGTGTCAAAACCACTTCAAATGAGACGATCCAGGTTTTTCTGTTCTGATACCAATGTCGATATTTTAAACGTAAACAGAATAAGGTAAAAAATTATCCACATGTGTTTTGTAATAACAGAACAGCTTTGTAAAAAGTTTAATATTATGAGACATTTTGGTCCAACATTGACCAATAAATCATCTAATTAAACAAGTTTATTGGCCCAAATGGAATATGGTTGAACCAATATTGATATATATCCGATCCACCAAAATCAGTGCTGATATCCGATACCAGGATCATATCGGTGCATTCCTACTTAAAATCACAACATGGATCTCTTTATGAGCAGTACGGATTAAGGTATTTAGTAGTTTGATATTATTTGATGATAATCTAGACCTAATGAATAGAATGTTTTTGGTTTTTGACTGATTTGAAAGGGGGACATATTATGCAAAATCAACTTTAATGAGCTTTTAACCTTGTTGCAAGTGTTTTCTTATCATTAATTCACTCAAGTTGTGTTTTGATTAATTCGTGCATGTTTGAATAATGCTGCAGTTGAGGCTTGAGTTCTCTGAAAATGTCTCCTCAGTTAAAATTATTTGAAAATTTAAGATGTTGAGTCACACATGAACTGTTGTAAGATCAGTATTGTGGTTTATAAATGACGATGAAGTTTGGCAATGTGATTTACTTATGTTATTGTTGTCTTCTTTAATGCATTCTTGTCTTGTTTAACGTGTTATAATAGTCGGTTTGTTGTTTGTGTGGCAGGAGACTCACAGTCTGAAGATGCTGAAGACTCTGGAGGGTCATGCGTACGGCGTGTCATATCTGTCCTGGAGTCCTGACGACGTTTACCTCATCGCCTGTGGCCCCGACGACTGCTCCGAACTGTGGCTGTGGAACGTGCAGGTAACGCAGCAGCTCATTCACCCGGGAATATATCACGTTTATTAATGTTTCTTTAAACTACTGGATAGAACCGATTTCGTACATTGAGAGTCTTTTCAATTACTGTCTTCGGAAAAAGTTCGGATGAAAAACTTCCATAAATGCAGAGCGTCATCAAAGCGAGATCCTGTTTGTTAAGTGAGATGTACAGAAGACAAACAGACTGAGCTGCACTTTCTTGTTCTTGTGGTTTTACAGCAACATCACGTCTTGGTCTCTTTGCAGTGGAAGGTGTTTCTTGGTGAACAGCTGGTGTCTTTCTCTTTGGCGTTGACTTTTTAAATTCATAACCAAGGCTGAGCGAGGAATCGGGGTTTTGCTTTGTTGGTGCTCCACATACAAAATGTTCGCTGCAAACTCGGGATGATTTCTTAGGCAGCCAAAGGTTACCCTTTTTCGTCCTTCCTGTGGATCAGTTCTGCCCATCGCCTTCACCTTTCACTATTTTTCAATTCCGTTGGGAAGGGAAACAGTTTGAACAGAGGTTTGCAGTCACACACATCTGATTCCCTTTTGCATTTATGGAGTTCACAAACAAATTTCTCAAGCTGTTTTCCGCTGTTAGGATCCAACAACCACACAATTAACGATGTCCGAATCCCAAAACTAAAATATGACAATATCAGAACCAGAAACAAAAGTGAAATGGTTAAAAGGCCTGAAAAGATCTGCTTTGTCAATAGACGCATCCCACTGGGAAAACAAACATGGCGGATTGATGCTCACTTTTTCGGAAAATCCTTCCCAGTATGGATTACGCAATGACCGGAAGTCCAAAATTTGTGATGCATGTAAACTGGTTTCAGTATCAGAATGACAGCTATAACACTCTTTTTCATGTTTAATAAAATAGAAGTTTTAATAATAGTAGTTTATTTAATATTATATAATCTGTTTGTCCTGTTGTCCTGCTCAAATGACTAATAATATAATGATTAATATCTGGTTAGGGTTGGGCGATATGGCAAAAAATAATAATAATAATAATCAGTATCAATTCTATTTTATTTTGTCTTTTCAAACAAAATAAAAATGTCTTTAAATATTGATTATATTGATTTGAATATTGATATTGACTGATGAACATAACCAAGACTTAGAAAATAGTCTTAACACATAAAATAGTAGAATTTCTTCCTCCAGAGTCCAAAACATGCTCGAGATTTACTGTAGACCCTTTAAAGAGACCCAGACACACAATATCATTGATGAATAGAAAAAGGGTTGGGCGATATGGTAAGAAAAAGAATCACAATTTCTTTTCCCCATATTGACTGATCTTGATTTTTGATTCTATTTTCTTCCATCTTATTGAAAACATAAACAGACATATTTCAGGCATAAAGAGCAGGGTGCCTGAACCACAAACATTTTTATTTTGTGTTTTTATTGGACTGAAAATTACAGAGAAATCCAAATGCAAAGTTTGGAATGAGTTTGTACAATACTTTAAACCTAAAAACATACGTGTGTGTACATCAAGTGGACATTCAAACATGTTTTCTATCCCCTTTGCTAGTGGATATAAGTATTTTCATTCTTACTGCGCCTCAAATGTAAAACCTGCTGGAAGTGAACAGTTTAAAGAATCCAGCCTTGAGATGTAAATTCACGAAGCTCAAATCTGCAGTTACCAAGTGCTGATTTATTCCTGATTCACAACAAAGGCTGTCTGTGTCTTGGGCCGCATCCCATTTCTCTGCACTTGCCTCCTGTTTCCTCGGCTGTCAGTCTGAGCAGAGAGCCAATTGATACTTTGCAGTGGCATCGTGCTGGGGGTGTTCAACATGTATCTCTAACAGTGTTGGGAGTAACGCGTTATAAAAGTAGAGAGTTACTGTAATGCGTTGTTTTTTTCTGTAACGCAGTAATGTTCGGCATTACAGGGAAAAAATGGTAATATTTTACTCGGTACAAATGTCACTAACACGTCACATTGCTTTTTTTTTACCCGGATTGAAATGGTGGGTTTTTCGTTTTTCTTCGTAAAAATTTGCTAAAATCGTCGCGATATCAACAGCGGTGAAATGCCGTCGTTACAGTTCCGAACAAGGAGCGCCCACGTAGACCATCAGGCACCTCACGGGGTAATCGCAGCTGATGCCCGATCGAGCTTTGCGGACACCTGCTCCACGGGTTCTCTCGGGGGCGGTCCTAGATTCAAAGTCCTGGTCCAGGTTTAGTCCTGGTTTAGTCCTGGTTCAGCTCTTGTTCAGTTCTGGTTTAGACCTGGTTTAGACCTGGTTTAGTCCTGGTTTAGACCTGGTTTACACCTGGTTCAGTCCTGGTTCAGTCTTTGGTTCAGTCCTCAATTCAGACCTGGTTTAGACCTGGTTTAGACCTGGTTCAGACCTGATTTAGACCTGGTTTAGTCCTGGTTCAGTCCTGGTTCAGTCCAGGTTCAGTCCAGGTTCAGTCCTGGTTTAGTCCTGGTTCAGTTCTGGTTCAGCTCTTGTTCAGTCCTGGTTTAGTCCTGGTTTACACCTGGTTCAGTCCTGGTTCAGTCCTGGTTCAGCTCTTCTTCAGTTCTGGTCTAGACCTGGTTTAGACCTGGTTTAGTCCTGCTTCAGTCTTCCTGTTTCAGTCCTTGGTTAAGTCCTGGTTTAGTCCTGGTTTAGTCCATATACGGCGCAAAAGTTCAGCATCTTCACACATTATTTTGGTGAGAGTAACTTAAAAGTGCTGCAATAGTCGTGTAATATTTTACATTTTTAAATACACTAATATTGTAATGTAACAAATTACTCTGAAATGACAGTAACAAGTCATAATAAATAACACATTACAGTTTTAAAGTAAATTGCCCAACAGTGACCTCTAATGGTGGAACAATGCATAGATTAAAAAAAGAAAAAACACAATATGAGTACGAGCGCTCGTGGTTTTGTTTTTATGAATCATCTCTCCCGTTGTAGTTCCAGTTAAGTCAATTTTCTAATAAAACTGAGACAGAGCCGAGCCTACAGTTAGCATCACACTCCCAGGGGATGTTGATGACGAAGTATCAGTAGCGTACAAGCTTCCTCTCGCCTCTTTCCTCGGGGCTGTGGGGGTTTACAGTGAAGGAATCGAGGCTCTGAGGAGTTGGTGCAGAGAAATGGGACGCGCCCCAGCTCTCCACCAACCACCTGTCATGTGGCTATGGTGTCCCATCTGTCCACACTTCATCCACAAACCGCTCACTCTTTTATTCTCGAAGCGTCACAGCACCGATCTCATTCTTCATGCATTTATTCAGTTTCTGGTTTAGACACAAAATCATGTTGTTTGTACTTGTTGCTTTTGGCTTTGAAATGAGAGAAATGTGAATTAAGAAGAAGGAAAAAGAGATGATGTTGTTTTAGGACAAAATATTAAAACCTTCTCTACCCACAAGGCACCAGGCCAAACATTGTAATACGACATTGTAAGTGTATTATGTATTAAAGGTGCCCTGTGTAACTTTTCTGGTCACACTAGTACATGTTTGAGTTGTTTTCGTTGTGGATGCAGTGTTCGTCCACACTAAACCGATTGAAAACAGCTCCAGAGACGGAACGATCTGGTGCCACATGCTCCCACGGATTCATTTGAGTACGAATCTGATCCGGCACCCTGTGGACGCCTGAAAACGCTGATACGCTGATGTAGTTCTATGCAAAGTAGGCTAATTCAGCGCCAAAACGCTAAGAGGCTAGAATATATGTCCATTCATATAAACAGTCTATGTGTATGATCGTACGCATAATCGACCGTATAATCTCTGAAAAGCTTAACATGAATCATCTCCAACGTGATAGAAGAACAGAACAAACTCATCATCAGCAGAACACCCCTCTGTCACACTCATATTCCACTGAGTTGTGTCTTTTAGTCCAACAGAAGCTGAACCGCATCAGTGCACAAAAGCGAGCTGTTTTTTGAGCACTTAATTTATGCAAATTAACCATGTGGTTTAAGTTTTGTTTCTATAAAACGTAAACAAATATGCTCAAAACTGTGTGGATAGGGAAGACTTGTGGCCACAGAAATGAGTCAGTCCACACTCTGAGCCATCATGCTCATCTTAAAATCCAGTGTAAGTAACAACTAACAAATAATAATACAGGCTACAAATCTGTACCTTAGAGCAGTTTTGCAATGTAAAAACATAAAATGAATAAAATATAGTTAATAAAAATAAGGTACAGAAAAACATAAAAGTATCTAAAATAAACTATATATCCAGCTGTTCTACAATCTCTACATTTAAAAAAATAAAATAAATATACTTATTTATATAAAAAAATATCCCAAATAAACTTTGTTAAGCTCGTTTCAACTCGATTATGTGAGTTTTGAGATCACACAAATCAAAATCATGATCAAAATTCATTTTAATTGCACAGCTTTAGTTTGGCATATAAATTATATGTTACCATTGGAGACAAGCAGATGATTATCAGCCCAAATATTTCTTTAGCAATCAGATCATGCACGTATTTCAATAAATCCAGGTTATCTGCATAATTTTGAATGTCATACTGTGGAACATTCCAGACAATGCAAAAAAGACAGACCCATGTTGGCTCCTCACCTGAAAAGTGCAGCTTTAAGAACTGTGAAAGCATTTTATGATTATGTAAAAGTCCTGATTGTTAAACTGACCAGAAAGCAGAATGAGCTTTTCATTTTCGGTTGCCAGATACAAATTTTTCCTCCTTTGAAAGTGATCTAAGAATGTAATCTCTCTCCCCCTGTGTGAGCAGACGGGCGAGTTACGGACCAAAATGTCTCAGTCTCACGAGGACAGTCTGACCAGCGTGTCGTGGAACCCAGACGGCAAGCGTTTCGTCACCGGGGGGCAGCGTGGACAGTTCTACCAATGTGTGAGTATCAGAAATCTGCTCTGAAGTGTTTATGAGGTACAGATACATGCACTCTGCCACCGGGGGTCAGTACAGTCTAAGCACAGTCGAAGCAGGGCTGAGTCTGGTTAGTACTTGGATGGGAGGTCGCTGGGAATATCAGTGCCACAGTGGGGCAGCGGGATCTAGCAGGGTGTAGTAGAAACTCATTTGTCACATTTACATGAGAGTTTTAATTCGGAATAAAACTTTTACATTCTGAATAAAAATGAATTCCGCTTTAAAAAGACCATGTAAACACTTAATTCCTAATGAAAATGATTATTAAACGTATTCCAATGTAAGTGGGTGGTTTATTCCGATTTTAAAGCCGAATTAATTTATTCCTTGATCATGTAAACCACAGGTGTCAAACATACGGCCCAGGGGCCAGATCCGGCCCTCCAAGAACTTTAATCTGGCCCTCAGCTGATTTTCTATTAAAATATATTAATGATATTTTCTATTAAAATATTGGTAATTTTCTGTGGTGTTTATCACAGCAGCATCTCCAGTGTCTCTGTACGTGGCCCCTCCCACCAGAGCAGCACAAATGAAGACTTGTCTCTTTCCAAACGCTCTTAAAGGACGATCGTTTTGACTGTTGACCGTGACACCCTCATCAGAAAAATGTCCAACATGAGAAAAGTGGAGCCGAGTGCAGGATTTTACAACAAAAATGGACTTATTCCTATTTGCAGACAAGTTCATGTTAAAACTTTGTGTTGAAATTGCATTTTTCTTAAAGTTTCAGGTTGTTCATAATATTATAATATTTTGTAAAAGAAAGAGATTCATCAATTAAAAAAGATTGAGACACTCTGTAATAGATTTGTTTCTCTGCACTCAAATATTTAGAGCACTTTCATTTCTTTCCGACATTCCTTAAAGCGTGATGAGAATTCTCCAGTTACTTTCATTTTCATCGAAACCACTGTGAAAAAAGTTTGGATCGTGTTTGTGTCCGTGGCGTAATGACTAACAGACATGACAAAAATCTGGTAGCCCGGTCGATGTAAATACGTTGTGTCTCTGATCAAAAAGTGAGCAAAGGTAAAATGTAAAGTCAAGGAATATTTAATTCCGAACTATTTCCTTCAGAACAATTAATTCATGAATGTTGGTCTTCGGTCGAGGGGTCGATGGTAAAGTTTGGCCACTGAATGAATAATCACTACAGTTTTTGCAATTTTAAAGTTAATGTCAATTTTCTCTTGCTCCACTCCCTCTTTCTTTCTCCCCTGTATCTCTCCTCCTCCTCTCCTGTCACTCTCAGGACCTGGATGGAAACCTGCTGGACTCCTGGGAGGGGGTGCGGGTGCAGTGTCTGTGGTGTCTGAGCGACGGACGCACAGTTTTAGCCTCAGACACTCACCAACGAATCAGAGGCTACAACTTTGAGGACCTCACTGACAGAAACATGTGAGATACTCCTACTACTACCACCACTTTAGGGTCAGTCCGTATGAAATCTGCCATTTTCAAGAAATCTCCCCTATGAGCCATCTCAGATTTGGCAGAAAATTTTTCTAAAAATTTCTAAAATCACCAAATGAAAGAATCTCAAATTTTAGCTCAGTCCCTTGAGTCGTTCCTCAGTTACGGCCCATTGAAATTTTGGGGCCGTGCTCACTTTTTCTGAATCCTTAATTTATAAACATGTTTGAGAGACCATAACTTCATGAAAAATAGAGCTAGGAAGCTGAACATGTGTATTATTGTAGATTCTTGGTCACAGATTGGGTATCTGTCTGGTAATATTGGCGCTGTGGGCCCGCAAAATCTCACATATGGTTGCCGCTCCGAATTTTTGAAAATGAGCTCACAGGTAATTTTTGGTGGAGCTTAGGGACTTCAGTTACCTTTAATAGCCTTAAACACTATTTGCTTGTTATAAGAGAAGACAATTGGAGATTTGTGGCTACAGTGCTTTAGAAATTTTTAGAAAGTTTTTCAGCCAAATCTGAGGTGGCAGCTATTTTCATATGGACTGACCCTTTATTAACATTGTGGAGCAAAAAAAAAAAAAAAAAACTCAGGAGAACCATAACAAACAGTAACAGACATACTTTGACCTATCATCAGCCAGGTTACTTATTATCAACATAAAAATTCCATCTGTTCAAATCAACACTTGGCTTTTGTGTTTCAGAGTGCAAGAGGACCATCCCATTATGTCGTTCACCGTCTCTAAAAACGGCCGCTTGGCGCTGCTGAACGTGGCGACTCAGGGCGTGCACCTTTGGGACCTGCAGGACCGGGTGCTGCTGAGGAAGTACCAGGGTGTCACCCAGGGCTTCTACACCATCCACTCCTGCTTCGGGGGACACAACGAGGACTTCATCGCCAGCGGCAGCGAAGGCAAGACAAGAGAATTTATCAAGTGTTATAAAGTTCAACATAATGCTATAAAGAAGAAGTAGAAGCATGAAGTTGTAATCGAAGAAATATCTGAAGTAAAAGTAAGTTATTTGAAGTCAATTAAGTAGAAGGCAAAATGTGACACCTGATATTTATAATTTTTATCTCAATGATTGGAAAAAACTCAATTATATCTGAAGAAGTGATGCAAGCAACACAACTGCTCAAATCATTTACTGTTGTCACATTTAAAAACGTAAGAAAAACTGAATTGGTCCAATTTAGTTTGTTTGCAGTTTCACTTAATTTATGTGAGGATCCTAATTATTCAGAGTTAAGTTTTGCCGTCAAGGTAAAGCTAACAACTGGTAATGCACTTTCTGATTCTGACAATAAAATGCCTTAAAATTGGATCAGACAAGACAGATTTGGAATATCCTTCGGGATCAATAATGTATCTATCTATTTTGCTCGTATACATGGGAAAAACTCAGATCCGGCCCCTTTAATAGTTCGGCTCAGAGTTCATTTCCCTGTGTCCTGTGTCTCTCTCAGATCACAAAGTGTACGTGTGGCACCGTCGCAGTGAGTTGCCCATCGCGGAGCTGAGCGGGCACACTCGGACAGTGAACTGTGTGAGCTGGAACCCCGCGGTGCCCGGGCTCCTGGCCAGCGCCTCTGATGACGGAACGGTCCGGATCTGGGGTCCCGCTCCTTTCATGGACCTGCCTGAAGCAGAGGGCCTAAGTGGTATGTGGGAACATCATAATAATAACTGTATGGAATCTAATGCTAATTCATGTGCATGAGAAACCTACATTTTTTTTGTCAGTGTCAAAAAGTAGTTTCAGTGGGTTAATCATGATTATGGAATCAAACTGAAAAAAAGTATTAAACATTATGCTGTATAGTGGAGAAAAGATATGGTGCCACTCGAGAACTTACAGAATCAAGGGCAAATACATTTCCTATAATTTGTCTTAAGGCTTTTTGATATTGGTTCATGATTCCTACTGTAAAACTGCATGTTTCTATTCATCAGTTTCAGTCACATGACTTACTCTGAAACCTCTGGATAACATGCAGGGTACAATAGGTGTCAGCGACCACCACAGTGTGCGAAATACAGGGGGGATTAACCCATGACACCCCTTTAAAAAGCCTCAAAAGCAAAATTTTGAGGGGGCTCAAATTTTGGGGAACAGAGGTACCTCCAGATGCGAAAGGTATCACAGGTATTAATATGTTCCTCCTTAACACCGTGGGTCAACCTCATCTCAAGTTATCATTATGAACTAATAAAAGAGCAACATGTAGAACTTTGTACGCAACTCACCGCACATCTGTCCGGAGCAGAAACTCTGAGGTCAGGTTAACAGCAGCAGCCAAAAGCGGTAAAGACACAGGAGAACTCACTGTAGCTCAAAGCCCCTCAGGACGGGATTGGGGGTCCGGTCCTTGGTCTTGTTCCGTCCTCTGAGCGCGTTAGTCAGTTGGTTCGGTAGATCTGTCCTCTATGTCCTGTTTCCAAATGGTGGTGCGCAAGACCAGTGCGCTATGAACTGGGTATGAGAGGTTCCCTGCCGTGGTCTGCGCGCTGGGTTTTTTGTGCGGGGATATCGAGAATGCCCTGTGGACTACAGGTCTGGGTCGGCTGCTCCGGTCCTCCGTGCTCGACTACGACTGGTTCCGAGGTGGTGTAAAGCATCCAGACAGAAGCGTGAATCCAGTGTGGTTCATTATATATTGTTCTGAGCGTCCGTCCTCCGTGCACGACTCCCGGCTCCAGCCTGAACCAGAGCTGCTCTCACTGGGTCAGGATCTAGTCCGACTGCAGCATTTCTCACACGAGGCTATATGCGGTTTATTTTATAAGTTGAATCAACTGAACAGGGCCTATTCAGTTTAGACTCTAAACTTTACAGAACTGTATTAATCAACCAAGGAACATACAAACCAATCATGACACTACTTAGCCAATCAAATCTGTGCATTCAAGGTGATCACAACTCTGCTCAACACTTCGGAGATGAGGACCCCCCGAATATTGACGAGTATTTCGCACACTGTCATCACACAGCATGAACGGAGATGGTGATGTCTATTTTATTCTTGATAAAAAATCTCACCATAAAGTTCAATACAAATTTGAATCCTTATCATAGTTATGGAAAAGTTAAATTAAAAAAATGTCATCTTACACACACACACCTTACCTCTTACACATCTTACCTCAGAATAGTAACGCCATTTCTCTCTAATCATAAACTTTACTGAATATTTTTTTTTGCTAAACTTGTTTTTGTAATAGAGTGCTGCAGCATGGACAGCTGATAGTCGCTTCTACCACTCAGACTTTTCTCTCACCTGACACCTGGACAAAGGGACGAATTTTCTGAACAGCCATTGGACAGCGGCTCGTGTGTGGGCGGGACATAAAAAAAGGGAGTCACCAAAACTATGAACCAATCAAAACACTGATGTCAGGCTCCCATTTTTGAAAGACCCGCCTCCTCCCCTTTGGACCACAACACCCAAATCCTAATATTTATTACCAATGTTATTTAATCTCCACAGAAAATGGAGGACCTCTCATGAGAATCTACTCGCAGCGTATTTGAAGGATGTATCGGCCACTTGAAGAAATACTTTTTAAATTGAAATGCTTTTAAAGATGTTTTTGTTTTGTTTTTGGTCCCTGGTTTACATTGCTTTGACGTGCAATGACTGAGCATGTTGCCTCGAGAGAAATTACATTTGTATAAGATGTCACTACATTTGAGTTCAGATGGAGGCAGGAACTGATCACAACTGGCGCTGACGTGCAACTTTGCCTGATTCTTACTGCTTTTTGTGCATGAAGAGCGCCCCCTGCACTTGAAACAAAGCACTACATTGAATAGTCACGAGTCGAGTTGATTCAATTCAAACTTTATTCTTAAAAATGTTCCTTTATGTGGCATTAACTCTACTTTTTCATTCACCAATTTTGATAATGGTGCTTAATGGGAATGAAAGACAGTATTTATTATAGGGACAGTGAAAATTAATGAGCTACTGTGTAAATTACAGTGTAAATGGGAGCACAGAACCAAGATTTTAACTTCTCGTCTTGTCCAGAATACTCACTTCTTCAGTACTTTATGAAAATCTGCGTTGGGTCAATCTATTCACGCTTACCAGAAGACGTTTGGAAACATGCGGATTACGACTTCCAGTGTAGCTACGACACTCAGCATGTGATAAAACCGTGGATTCAGCAGCAGTGTCTTCACAACCTGCCAAAGACTTCCATGAGGGGCGTGACTTTAAAAAAAATAAATCAATAAAATTAGATAAATTATAAAACACAAATTAATAGGCAAGTTATAAAAGCAAAAAAGAAAGAATACAATGACATCTAGATAAAGAAAACCAGGCAATTTTCTCAGTTACCCTGCGTTCGATTATCCTTCCAAATCGGTTTTCCGAGGAAGTTGCCTTGAGACACGGAGCGACTCGGACCTCGGTGGTGGAAAAAGCAGACCGAGCAAGGATTCCGAGTCAGAATCCAAGATAGCTCTGCCTACTGTGATGTGTAAATATGAAGTGTTTTCATTGTGTCTGGACACTTTGGTGGTTTAAATGACAGTTCTCCATGTCACTGCCTGTGGGTTTGATAGTCAGTGTTGTGGTGAGGCCAGTATTGAAAAAATACTTGGTTTAACAGGCGTTAAGGTTGTAACGGAAGAGAAATCATAACATAAAAAGAAGTGCAAATGTCAAAAATAAAAAAAAATTAAAATGAAATTAAAAATTAAAGTGGATGAGGGAATAGTCATGATCATAATCCACGTAGTCCGACACGCGAAACATAATAATACGCTTCAAGATCGGATATGGCGTCAAATCCGAGGTCCAAGTGGAAGTCGAAAGATAATCGTATGCAGGGTTAGGATCTCCAACAAAGCCCAAAGCCCGCATGTTTCCAAAAGTCTTCCAGTTCTGTGACGTAAGCGTGAATAGAGCCCACTGGTAAATCTCTCAGTTCAGAGTTCAGTGATTGACAGGTGGATTAGCCAATCAGAGACACTCATGGTCCAACCGATCAAAAAAAAAAGGCTGCCTATGATGAAAAAAGAGATTAAAAAATATCTCGAGCGACTGAAAAACATGACAGATCAAAAATGAAAAATGAAAAGACCCGTGAGCTCCTTGGTCTCACGTGCGTCAGTGAAATAAACAAATCTGACTGGACGATCCTGCTTGGTTCTAGATCAAGATGCGGCTCATTGTTATAAAAAAAAATACAGAGTGAAACCAGTTTGAATTCCCAGGTCTAAATCATCGCAAAAAAATCATAAAATCGTGATGTTTCTTTTCACAATTATCATAACACTAAGACTTGATATGGTGACGTCTCTAGTATTTGTTTTCCACGTGGCCTCTGCTCTTCCTGCGTCCATCTGAACTTTGCACTAAACTGGATCATGATTTTGTCGTTCGCTGCCTGATTTGAACCAAACGCTTTTCCTTTTGGCCTTTGACCTTTATTTATTTATTTGCGCGTTGTTTTTTCCTGTTACACCTTTACGCTTTTAGCTCTAAGTCTGTTTTTTTGTTTGTTTTTTTCTTCAGTGTAGCGTTTCATGGCGTCTGTTTTCTTGGATTGCTGAAATGTTTATGAAATGTATTTATTTGGATTTTTTGCTTTTCGATTTTTATCTTTGTTTGTTTCAGTTTGTTTTGGGGTGGTGCAGTTTAGGTAGGACACACTCACTCATGAAAAAACGTCCATATTTTTCAAACTAAGTAGCCTACATTTTTCATATCCAGTAAACAGACCAAAGCCAATTCAACGTGACTTATTAAAAGACAATTTTGTGCCATGATAAATAGTAAAGACAAATTATCATTATTGTTATTATTTATTATTATTACTATTATGTGTCTAAATTATGTTAATGAAATTGTTAAAAATAGACAAACTACGCCACTGGGCTATTTCTGATTGTTACACTTACCCATTATCACTACAAGTTTTGATCATTTTAACATGATATTAAAGGTGCAATGTGGAGGGTTTGGCACTGTCTTGTCTCCATGGAGATGTTTTTGCGTTGCCTTGAATATTCCACAGTATGGCATTACACTTACCATATTTTTCAGACTAAGTTGCTTCAGAGTTTAAGTCGCACAAACCAAAAAATGCGGAATGAAGAAGAAAAAAGCATATTTAAGTTGCACTTTTTGGGGGAAATTTATTTTAGAAAATCAGAGACCAGGAACTGACAATTTCCTTGTGAAAGTCAAGTTCTAGTAAAAACAACAGAACAGAGAACAACAGACTGTTAACGTCACATATGAACAGTTCTTCAGATAAACTATAACATAAACAACAGAACAGAACAAGTTTAACAAACTCTTCATCTCACTCCAAATCACTAAATCTGTTCAATTCTTCATCCTCGGTGTCACTTCTGAGCAACTCCACAACCTCCGGAGGTAAACAGAGCGCCGCTTCCTCTTCTGTGTCACTGTTGTCAGACTCGGCATCAGTTCTAGTTAGAATTATTCCGGCCTTTCTGAATCCCGACAGGATGGTTTCGGTGTCACTGAAGTCCAGGTTTTGTTGATTCCATCCAGTGACTTCCAGAAAATTTGCATGGCGCACCCTCCCGGTTACTCTCTCCAAACTTTCTTTCTGCTACTCGATTACCACTTTCAGCTGCATGTTTTACTACTTGCAGCAAGACAGAGGCTCTTTCTGCAGGAGACATGCGCAGTAGAGCGAAGTGACAGTGGTACAGGAGGAACAGGAGCAGCAGATACTCACACACAAGACTAGAGTGCCCTCTGTTGGCTGTCAGTGTGAACATTTTAATATATAAATCACACCTAAGTCGCAGAAACACCCAAACCATGAAAAAAAGTGCAACTTATAGTATGAAAAATACGGTATATATTTATATGTGTTTTCACCACTTATAAATGCCTTGAAAACCATGCAGTCTTACTGTGAACAGGCTTCCCTCTCCACAGATCTGACCAGGAACTTCTGGTCTGGTGGAGTCACCTGTTTGTGTCCATGGAGGTAGATTTCTTAAAGGGCACACTGTGGAATATTCCAGCTAAGAATAAATAAGGTGACATAAGAGTACTATGAAGTTATGAATTAATTGGAGTAATATTATTTGTAAAAAACATGAAGATGGTTTATTCAAGAAATTATTAATAAGATGAATTTTATTACATTTTAAGTATATAAAAGGTATTTATTTTTGTATGTATTCATTTTCTAATCAGCTTCTTTCATCTGATCTAAAACAACAGCCTTGAATTGTTGATCATGGGTTTTAGCGAGTGTCCCAAGATTTAATTTGATGCCCCAAAATGACCTTAAGGAAAAAAAAAATAGTAATTGTATTTGTAATTTGCACATTGTAAATAGCATGCAGCTGGTCTGTATGTAAAAAACACATATATATTATAGAAGAGCAGTTTTATTTATAATATTTCTTGCTGTTTGGTCACGATTGGCTTTGGTCTTTAGATGCATTTCACCGTTGCTCTGTTTTCCGCTACAACTGGCACCTGTTCCGATTTTAATTTTAAGGTCAAAATAATGACCAAAAACTCTACGGGGGTTGGAACGAAATTGTGAAAATGTTACATTCATGCAAACCAAAATGCTCAAAGAATTATTTAAGTAGTTTCAAGTGAAAGTCCTGGTTTAGACCTGGTTAAAGAGTTTGTATCTATCTGCCTTTTATTTCTAGTTCAGTTCAAACACCTTTTAATCCTAACAATTTTAGGAGCTTGTTGTGAAAAAAAAAAAGACTGAACGATATGGATCCTGCCTGTGCATTTTTAAAGGCATTTTGTTTGACAAGAACCATAAGAACCACAAACAAATAGCTTTATTGTCAATTTCTTCACATGTACTAGACATACAAAAGAATCAAAATAACGTTTCTTTCTGTCCCATGTGCACAGATACAACAAATAACATCATCTCTAACCACTACAGCAGGCATCTCCAACCTTTTTATTCTGGTGATCTATCTTCATAAACCCAAAAATGTCAAAGAGCTACTAATTTTATCTGTCAAAAGAAATTAACTACAGGTTGGAGACCCGACCTGCACCACAGTAATCATAGATAAATAAATTAAGCTAAAAACACTAGTGTACAGTTCAGTGCATTTCAAGTCAGATCAAGTATCAGCAGCAGTAATAAGAAACAGCAGAATGTTGCAGAACACAAAGCAGTTTCTTATGTGGGTCTAGTGGAGGAGTGTCAAACTCAAATTCGCAGAAAATTAAAAACTGGGACTAAGTCGTGGGCCAAACTAAATATTTAATGGAAAATTTCGACAACATCTGCATGTTTTCTCTTCTTTCGAGATATGTAATGTTAAACCTTTTCTTGTTAAAATAAATGTTTAATAATAGTTTTGCTTAAACATTGAAACCAGAACAAGCATAATATAAAATAATAACAACATTTAAAATAAATAATGTCTCTATAGTCGATCTGTAGCCGGCGGGCAGCTCTAATACATGTTTGATATGATCTCGTGGACCAAATATATCACGAGTCAGGTTGAGTCTGATATGTCTGGTCTTTTTGGGGGATTGGGGAGGGGGAGGTCTAAGTCCAGGTGTTCTTTGGGAAGTTCTGTTCTTGGGGAGGTGCAGATTCCTAGCTTCCTGGCAGCCTGGTTGGTAGAGAGGGAAGAGAGTTCGGTACCCGTTGTTCAGAATTGGGCTTAGTCCTGGATTACCACCTACAGTACATTCTTATTTTATTTGTCCTTGTGAGTATCACCAGATCTAAACCAGGTCTATACTAGGACTAAACTAGGACTATACCAGGTCTAAACTAGGTCTACACCAGGTCTAAACTAGGACTATATCAGGCCTTTACTGGGTCTAAACTAGGACTATACCAGGTCTAAACTAGGTCTACACCAGGTCTAAACTAGGACTATACCAGGTCTAAACTAGGACTATACCAGGTCTAAACTAGGTCTACACCAGGTCTAAACTAGGACTATACCAGGTCTATACTTGGTCTAAACTATGTCTACACCAGGTCTAAACTAGGACTATATCAGGTCTTTACTAGGTCTAAACTATGTCTACACCAGGTCTAAACTAGGACTATATCAGGTCTATACTAGGACTATATCAGGTCTATACTATGACTGTACTAGGTCTAAACTAGGACTACACCAGGTCTAAACCAGGACTATATCAGGTCTATACTAGGTCTAAACTAGGTCTACACCAGGTCTAAACTAGGACTATACCAGGTCTATACTAGGACTATATCAGGTCTATACTATGACTGTACTAGGTCTAAACTAGGACTACACCAGGTCTAAACCAGGACTATATCAGGTCTATACTAGGTCTAAACTAGGTCTACACCAGGTCTAAACTAGGACTATACCAGGTCTATACTAGGACTATATCAGGTCTAAACTATGACTATGCTAGATCTAAACTAGGACTACACCAGGTCTAAACTAGGACTACACCAGGTCTAAACTAGGTCTAAACTACGAGATGTGTGAAGAATCCCTCAGTCGTCCAGGTAGAATCCATGGCGAGGAGAAAATTCAGTTTGTTGACTGGACAAAAGTTATTTTGAAGACGTTTCGCAGCTCATCCAAGCTGCTTCTTCAGTTCAGAACTGGTCTAAACTAGGACTATACCAGGTCCAAATTATGGCTATACCAAGTCTAAACCAGGTCTATAACGGGACTACACACTTCCACAAGTACAGTCAGATTGAAATGTGTTTTGAACTGACTCTAAATTCAACAAACATTTTAAACTACAGAGAAATACCACAATTTTAAAAGGTCTGATCCAACCACAGCTAAAAAACATATTATTATTATTATTTATATTAGCCTCGTGTGTTTTGTTCAAACCACCCAGATTTCCTCGGATCATCGTCGGGGGTGGTGCCAGTTTTAGCGGAGCCCGTGTCCGTGTGGGTGGGTGTGTCGTTGGCAGGGGTCGGTGCTGTGAATACTTTTGTAACATAAGGACTTGTACAGAGATTTTCCTAAAGTCTCCGGATCATTGCCTGATATCTGTGAGCTGTGCTGTACTTCCTCTGTTATGGCATGTTCCCTTGGGCAGCTTTAAGTTTCAGGCTCCCACTTATTACAATAGGACTGAAGAAAACACGCTCTTTTATTAGATTTTACTTTTAACTCTCTTCAAAAACAAACGAGACGGTGATATTAATAAAGATGCACTGTGTAGCTTTTCTGGTGTAACTCCCACAGTACAGCATTAAACGTATCTATCTATATTACTCGTTTACACATTTTAATTGCGCAAAAATACCTTGAAAAACATGTGTACTGTAAGCGGGCTCGCCTCTACACAGATCTGTCACACATGCGAGTTTACAAGAAGATGGGCAGGTTTAGTGCTATAGTGTGGAATATTCTAGACACACTTTCAAAATTGGAAAGCTACAGTGCAACTTAAAATGCATTGCTTCATGAATGTCGGACTTCTGGTCATCGCGCAGTGCATACTGGGGAGGATCCTCTGAAAAAGTGAGCATCAAATCGCCATGTTTGATTTCCTAGTGGGATGCGTCTATTGACAAAGTCTATCTTTTCAAGGCTTTTGAGCCATATCACTTTTGTTTCTGGTTCTGATAGTGTTATATTTTAGTTATGGGATTCAGACATCGTAATTGTGTGGTTGTTGTATGTCCTAACAGCGGAAAACGGGCTTCGGAAGTTTGCAAACTCCATAACTGCAAAAAGGAATCAGATGTGTGTGACTGTAAATCTCTGTTCAAACTGTTTCTCTTCCCAACAGAATTGAAAAACAGTGAAAGGCGAAAGCGATGGGCAGAACTGATTCACAGGAAGGACAAAAAAGGAAACCTTTGGCTGCCTAAATCATCCTGAGTTTGCAGTGAACATCTTATATGTGGAGCTCCATTGAAGCAAAATCCCGATCCCTCGCTCAACCTTGGTTATGAATTTAAAAAGTCAACGCCAAAGCGAAAGGCACCAACTGTTCGCTAAGAAACACCTTCCACTGCATGAGACCGAGACTTGATGTTGCTGTAAAACCACAAGAACAAAAAAGTGCAGCTCAGTCTGTTTGTCTTCTGCACCTCTCACTTAACAAACGGGATTTTGCGTTGATGGAGCTCCACATACAAAATGTTCGCTGCAAACTCGATTTAAGCAGCCAAAGGTTTCCTTTTTCGTCCTTCCTGTGGATCAATCCTGCCCATCGCCTTCACCTTTCACTAGTTTTCAATTCTGTTGGGAAGAGAAACAGTTTGAACAGAGGTTTGCAGTCACACACATCTGATTCCCTTTTGCATCTATGAAGTTCGCAAACAAATTTCTCAACCCGTTTTCCGCTGTTAGGATCCAACAATCACACAATTACGATGTCTGAATCCCAAAACTAAAATATGACAATATCAGAACCAGAAACAAAAGCGATATGGTTCAAAAGACTTGAAAAGATCGGCTTTGATAATCAACACATCTCACTGGGAAAACACAGCGATTTAATACTCACTTTTTCGTAACATCCTTCTCAGTATGCATTGAGCGATGACCGGAAGTCTGAAATTCGTGATGCCTGTATTGATGTTAAATGAAACTATGTATGTTAAGAAAATGTCCCATCTTGCACTTTATTTGTACTTGGATCTAAACATATGCATATTATAGCGTAAAAAAAGGAAGTTACCATGAGAAATATGTCCATGAATATATAATTTATAACAATAAAACGAAAGAAAGTTGGACAAAGTTCTAAAAAGTGGAAAGCAAGTGCCTGTTGCCCCTCGTTTTTCTTCTAAAAGAGAATTTCGTGGCACATTTTTCACCCCATCAGCTCTAAAAACTGAGCTTTGCTGAGGTCAATTTGCAAAAACGAACTGTTTCAAATCACAAGCTTGCACATACGTCTGTTGCGTCCTTGGGCAAGACACTATGGATTTGTCGTAAAAACTTGGCAAAACAACATTCGAATAAATAAATAAATGAGCCTTATATTTAAATAAGTGGGAGCCTCTCGAGTATCACCAGCTTTCGCGTCTTCACAAACTCTAGTGTAAAATGGCCGTCTCTCCGAACACGTTTTGGTGTTTTTAATCCTTTCTTTTCTTTCACTGCAGTGTTCCTGGCTTCTCTCTTTCTCTCTCTTTCTCTCTCTCTCTCTGTTTTTGGTACCTGCGTGAAACTGAAATCAGGAACTGTTGTTTTTTTCTAAAAGCTTGCAGACGGACCGTTGGACGCCATTTTGCATTTTAACCGTGTTATTACAAAAGTGATTGTACTGTTCTGTAATGTTCTGTAGGAGAAGTGTCATGTAACAGATTTTAAATAAAGTATTCAGGGGTTTAAAGAAAAAAAAAAGCTTTACAATTATTTGCTTCTATTTCTTCTTCTTATTTCATTGTTTTGCTTGGAATGTTCCACATTATGACATTAAACTCATCTATCTCCATGAGGACAAGCAGCTGGCACCATCACGCAGGTAAGTTACTGGTGAGGTTTGTGGAAAGGCGACCGCATTCACGTTTTTTGAGCACACAATTGAATAAATGTAAAATAGATACACAAGATTTCCCCCAAAATTTGACATTTCGCAGGCCAATAATTTTGGCAATTCTTGTTGAAATAACCTAGCCTGATTCATCAGCCGATTTCACTTTGAAGAAACTCAACAGTAGGCGGGTACTTTTTCATTTTTCCACTTTTCATTTAACCAGTCGCTGCTATTTGGTTGTGACATATGTAATGTGCTGCTAACGGGGCTAACTGGTATATTAAGCTTTTCCCAAATCCTGTTGGAAGAAGGACAATAACGTCTTTCCCCTTGATGAAATTCACCAAACATTCTCATTGTTCCAGCTTTAAATCCTCGATCTCGGGAATCGTTGCCAACACAGAATGTCTGTCTTCGTCTACATCCATCTCCACGCTTTGTTTACTGTTGTGCTGTTCCACAAAAGGGACCCAGACAGACGCTTGAGTTTGATGTCATGACTTCACAGCTCTTCACTGATTGGCCGGTGTGCGGTCTACAACTTTCGAGGCAAACCGTCTAGTGTATTCTGATTCCTGACCTAGTCGCTGGAGAGAAATGAAATTGAGCGGAGGCACTAGGTGGCGCCAGCCTGGCTCAGTATTTAGTGTCATACTGTGGAACATTCCAAAGCAATAACACCATGTGGAAACAGAGAGCAGATCTTCTACCTAAGACGTTACATACTACAACTTTACTGTATATTTTGATTTGTTTTCTGCTTTATTAATTCTCCATTGGCCCCTCCAACCACCAGCGGTCACTCACTCATACACTGCACTCAGATAGAAACAAGGTGGATAAAGTGTCTTGCCCAAGAACACACCAATAGTATACATTTGATCCAAGCTGGAAACTACTATGACACTGCCCCCCAATGAAATGTTGTTTATTCATCAAACTCCGAGCTGTGTTTCATTCACGCTGAGGAATAACCAAACCAAACCTACAAATATTTAACCTTTTTGAGTTAAAGATTCAGTGAGATTATAAACACTTTTGTGACTGAATCATGGGTAACTTTTTATATATTTACAACTTTTTGAAGCGACTGAAAATGTTTACTTTCATTAATCCAACAAAGCCTACTGCAGGGATTTCCAACCTTTTTCTTTTGACGAGCTCATTTTACAAAACAAAAATAGCAGAGAAATTGAGTTGATGTAAGATAGAAAGCCTTGGATGGGCTACAGATGGATTCTTATAAAAAATAAACAATTATTAATTAATTAGTGCATAAAGTTTAACATTTACAGTAGGTTATAGCATAGGATTATAATTGATAAATCACAGGGACCAATTTATATTACTTACCTTTAAATTGCAGATAAAATTCCTTCCTAGTTATAATCTTGATATAACACAAACACTACTAACTTTTCTGTATTTATTTTTATTTATGAAACTTTTTTCCAAAATTAAAACAATACTGCGTAAAACAGTTCACACACAGAAAAGAGAGAAGTTCACATTTTGATAAACGGCTGAGAGAAAGATTATCGCTGAAAACACGTTTCGAGGAATGTCGCCCAAAACATACTTGACTGTAGGAAATGAACAAATGCCAAGTACAAAATGAAATATGAATAGAACTTAAATGTTCCCAACTATCGATCAGTTTCATTGAGAGTTTTGCTGCATTGTCATTGACATAAGGCAAATTATAGTTAATATGTAAAATGAATAATCTTATATTACACACAACCGTCCATTTGATCAATATTTTAGAAGAGAAAAGTCAAGCAAACAAGTTTTTAAATCAGTGAATATAAAGGTGCACTACATAAGTTTTCTGGTGGGGTCCGTTTCCTGCTTTTCTCTATTGAAATATTACGTGCATGTATTAATTTAAAGGTATAAAAACAAAAGAAAAGTGGCTTTTTTTTTTTTACTGTAACTTGGTCTTCTGGTGAACCTTTTACAAGAATATGGATATGCTTAATGCTCTAGTATGGAATATTCTAGGCCACAGTAACATCTCCACGGAGACACACACTGAAAATTGGTAAGTAACTGATGTTAAATGAAACTGTCCCGTATTGCACTTAAATTACATTTGGATCTAAAAAAATATGTAGATTATAGCGTAAAAAAGAAAATGACTATGAAAAATATCCCCATGAATGTGTAATTTATAATAATAAAATGAAAATAAAGTTGGAAAAAGTTTTTAAAAAGTAGAAAGCAAGTGCCTATTTCGCCTCATTTTTCTTCTAAAGAGAATTTTGTGGCACATTTTTGCCCGATTACTAAAAAACTAAACAAAAACTGCATTTTTTTTACTGTAAGCAGGATAGCCTTTCCACAAACCTGACCTGTAACTTGGCCTTGTGGCATCACCTGCGAGTTTACAGGAAGATAGATATGTTTAATGCTCTAGTATGGAATATTCTAGGCCACAGTAACATCTCCACGGAGACACACACTGAAAATTTTAAAGCGACAGTGCAACTTTAAATAATTGATGTTAAATGAAATGCTCCATATTGCACTTTGATCTAAACATATGTATATTATAGTGTAAAAAAGAAAATTACTATGAAAAATATCCCCATGAATGTGTAATTTATAATAAAATGAAAAAAAGTTGGGCAAAGTTCTAAGAAAGTATAAATTAAGTCACTTGTTTTTCTTCTAAAAAGAATTTTGTGGCACATTTTTTGCCCAATTACTAAAAAACAAAACAAAAGATGCATTTTATTTTTTTTTTTACAGTAAGCAGGATAGCCTCTCCACAAACCTGACCTGTAACTTAGCCTTGAGACATATCTGCTTATCTCCATGGAAACAGATGCATTTAAATTAATTTAAAAACGAGCAGGTGACGGACCTTCGATCAGTAACGTTGCATAGTCGACGTTTGAACAGACAAGCTCTAATAAGTAACAATCCAATATTTGTCTTGCAATAATCCATAGTATGACATTAAACTCATCTCCATGGCAACAAGCAGGTCCCATTACCAGGTCAAGTTACAGGTCAAATCTGTGGAGAGGCAAGTTTTCCCGAGGTATTCTTAACAATAAAACATCTAAAATTGGATAAATTCAAGACACTAGTTTGGTTTAATGCCATACTGTGGGACATGCCAGGTAAAGCAATCGCATCTCCATGGAAACAAGCACATCTCAGACCTCCCACCGAAAAAAGTTACATGATGCACCTTTAAATCAAGCAAAAAAAGAGGGCAAAGACAACACAAAAAGGCCAAAATGTTGTGTTGCAGCGACACAACTTTTCAAATATTATCAGTATTTTAAGACTCATTTCCTTTGACAAAATATTTAAAACCTTAAAAATATTAAATACAGTTATGTGACAACTTAAAGGCGCACTGTGTAACTTTTCTTATGAGCTACAGGTCTGTGGAGAGGCGAGCCCAATCACAGCCAGAATTAGGAAGATTGTTTTGTTTTTTTAAGCATTAACAACACCTGAATAAAAATAAATGCGATGTCCTAAGTATGACCTCTTACTGTGGAAAAGCAGTAAGATCTCTATGGAAACAAAAAAGTTACGTAGTGCGCCTTTAAATGAGGAAATGTACACGTCTTCTTAAACCAAGCCCCAACTTTTTGTTCGCATGCGCTGCTGAAATGAAACCATAAACTGCATATTTTTGCGTTGTTTTGCGATGGAGTGCGTCTTATTTTGTTAAATCGTCACAAAAACTTTGATACAGAAATAAAGCGGGACAAAGGCGTCGGTGCTACAGACTCGTCCGCGGCGTCGTACAAACGCTACAATAAAATAAAGAGTTTAGTGGATATGAAAAACTGGAGTCAAGGAAAACGTTATGTAAAACGTAACAGCAACAGGTGAGAGTTCAGTTCTCAAAGTTAAATATGTTACAAGAAGAAACTGTGGTCAGGATTTCAGTCAAGAAAACCAGGTCAGAGCATCTTTTGATTCAGACCTGGAATAAATGACATGTTCCCAGTCTGCAGGAACATTTACTCCTGATTTAGTTCCAATTTAGACCTGGTTTAGTCCTGGTTTCAACCTGGTTTAGTTTTGGTTTCGACCTGGTTTAGTGTTGGTTTAGTCCTGGTTTAGATGTTATTTAATCTCGGTTTAGTCCTGTTTTGAGTCCTATCTTAGTCCTGCTTTATACCTGGTTTTAGACCTGGTTTAGTCCCATTTTAGATCCAGTTTAGATCTGGTTTAGCCTGGTTTAAACTCATTCAATCTTTGTTTAGCCCTGGTTTAGTCCCAGTTTAGACCTGGTTTAGTTTTGGTTTAGTCCTGGTTTAGTCTTTGTTTAGACCTGGATTTAGACCCGTTTTAGTTCCAGTTTGGACCAAGTTGAGATCTGGTTTAAATTTATTTAATCTTGATTTAGTTTGAGTCCTAGTTTAGGGTTGGTTTAGCCCTGGTTTAGTCTTGGTTTGGCCCTGGTTTAGACCTGGTTTTAGACCTGGTTTTAGACCTGGTTTTAGACCTGGTTTTAGCCCTCTTTTAGTTCCAGTTTAGAACCAGTTTAGATCTGGTTTAAACGTATTTAATCTTGGTTTAGTCCTAGTTTCCTTTTGGTTTAGCCCTGGTTTAGTCTTGGTTTGGCCCTGGTTTAGACCTGGTTTTAGACCTGGTTTAGTCTCAGTTTAGACCTGGTTTAAATTTATTTCATCTTGGTCTAGCCCTGTTTGAGTCCTAGTTTAGAGTTGTGGTTTAGTCTTGGTTTAAGGCTGGTTAAGTCTTGGTTTAGTCCTAGTTTACATCTGGGAATAGCCCTGGTTGACTCCTAATTGAGTCCTGGTTTAGGCCTTTTTTAGTCCTGGTTTAGAACTGGTTTAGGTCTGGTTAAGTCTTGGTTTAGTCCTTGTTTAAATCCTTGTTTAGTGCTGGTTTTAGTCCTGGTTTAGTCCTGGTTTTCGTCCTACCCTCGTGGTTGCTGATCATAACGTTCTGCCTGGTGACTTTATTGTCGTATGTTTAAATCCCGTCAGCTCAGTAGATTTGTAGATTTGTAGCCCTGTTTGTTCCTTTGTGATGAGATTTTATAATTACATATTAAACACTGTACAGCATAATATTGTTCAACTGCTACTTTAAAACACTTGCTGCGCTGAATGAAGCTCAACTGTGCCCTTCAAACTTAAAAAAAATAAAAATAAATTGAATATTTGGAGTTTAAAGGCATGGTAGAGGATGTGGTAAAACAAAATAACCATTACCAAAATAAAAATAAACAAAACAACAGAACGTGGCAAAGCAAAAACATTTTCACATCTCTGTTAATCCGTCAGTGATTAAACTATGAATTATTTATACAATCCCAAGTCTAAAATGTAAAAATGAAACAAATTTTACGTCCCGTCCCAGATGTTGAGCTCCATTCACACAGCTGGAGTTTGTTTCTAATTGGAAGCCATTTTGTTTTGTGTGAATTATCAAAAACATCGGACAGGTGCACTACGTAACCTTTCAAGTTGAGAGAACGTCCCTTCGCCTGGAATGTTTCACAGTGTGGCATTACGACGCAGTTCAGGTATTTTGTTTTCATACCGTAAAATACTCCAGGTTATGAAGCAGGGGTGTGCAAAAATATCGACAAATCAATATATCGTATCATTTAATGTGAGGATACAGTTTCGATATCATGGGCTGCTGTATCGATATATCGCCAAGAGGATTTTTTTTGTGTGTTTTACAAAATTATTTTGTTACGGCGAATCCGTGTATCGTTCGTTCAATTTGTTTTTCAAAATAAAACCAAAAATAAGAAAATGAAAAAAAAAAAAAAACTATTTTCTTCATTATTTGTCTCCAAAACCAAAATGAAAAAAGAGATAATTTGTTTTTTTAATTTTCGATTTTGTGTTTAAACTGCGATGCAGGACTGAACCAGGTCTGACCCAAGTCTGGCACCAGATCGTAATCAGACCGGGACTGAGACCGGGACTGAGACCAGGACCAGGCCGTGATTGAGGCCGGGACTGAGGCCGGGACTGAGGCCGGGACTGAGGCCGGGACCGAGGCCGGGACCGAGGCCGGGACTGAGGCCGGGACCAGACCAGGATGAGACCGTGATTGAGACAGGGACTGAGACAGGGACCAAGACCTGGGACCAGACCGGGACTGAGACCAGGACCAGATCAGAACTGAGACTGGAACAAGACTGAGACCAGGACTGAAAACAGTTAAATCCTGTCTTAGTCCCGTCTTAGTCCGTATGTGCCGCAAAAGTCCGGCATCGCAGTTTAAGTCACGGAAACGGGAAATGGTTGTTTTTTTTTTTCCATTTTTCATTTAAACACAAAATCTAAACCTTTTTGGTTTTGGAGACAAATAATGAAGAAAACAGTTGTTTTTTTCGTTTTCTTATTTTTGGTTTTATATTTATTTTGTTACTTGTTTTTGCGACACATTTGACATTTTCACACTTTTGATTATTAAAATATTTGTGTTTCATATTCACTTTGGACAAGACGTGGTTTAACAAAGACTTTTAGTATCACAGCCACGATTTAGCATTTATTTTTTATTAAACTGTATCGAATCGTTTTGAAATATACCGTATTGAATTGAAAGTGCACAGTATCGAGATATGTATCGTATCGTATCATATTGTTTCAGGTGGCGTCCCCCATGAGAAAAGTTACTTAGTGCACATTTAACAACAGATAAGTGGTTCTCAAATAGTTAAGATCATTTCTAAAGCGTGTTTCTACAATCATTATGGCACTTATTTTTTACAATTCAACATTTTTGTACATTTTTTAGATGATTTCGGGTCTTTTCTTGACCCAGAGCCACTGTTTGGGAACCACTCCTCGTGCGTGTGATGGACAGTGTTGATGTTTGTGTATAAATGCATGAGTCTGTTCAGCTCAGCCGGTCACAGGCTGTAGATGCAGTTTGAGGAAAAAAAAAAACCCAGGCGTCAGAACCCGGTTTGGAGTTTGGATCCTCAGTCGTTGATGAGAGCGAGAATCATGCTGAAACACAGAGAAACAGGACATTAAATGAAGGTATACATGTTTAAAGATGAGGAATTATACTTCTGTGGGGTATTTATTCAGCTATATTCACTGAAAACATAGTAATAAATGTTTAAATAGTCTTAAGCTATATTCAGACTGCAGCCTGAAGTGACCCAAATCCGATTTTTTCTCCCCTATGCGACCTGTTTCTGATCTTTTAATGACAGTCTGAACGACACAGATCCGATTTTTTCAAATGTGACTGAGACCACTAGGATATGTGCTCCTAAAACCGATACATATCCGATCTTTTGACATTTGACTTCAGTCTGAACGGCCAGGTCACATTCATCCCACCTACACGTCACAAATGTACACAAACGTTCTTCTCGTCATACGAAAATTGTGTCTGAACTCTGTGTCAGTGAATCAGAGAAGCACAGAGCAATCACTCCACTCTTTGCTGCGACTCTGCACCCACACATTCCACAACGCCACGACCAAAAACCTCGTCCTTCTTCCTTCTCAAGCTCCTCCTTAAAACAAATAAGTTGTTCATGTTCTGGCTCCGGTACGACAGCAACTTTAAAATCTCCAGGTGCTCAATGCTGTGTCCATGTTTAGGCAACTTTCGTAAACACAGAGCACGCTCGCTGCGGTTGACGTCATCCTGTCTCCAGTGCACATGCGGGACACTTTTGGGCCGTTTAATAACATTTAACACTGGAGATCACATACAAGTCACATTTAATTGGAAATGTGAACGACCTCGTAAAAACATCGGATTTCACAAAAAAACTGAATTGAGCGTTAAGTCCTGCGGTCTGAACATAGCCTTTGTTTTTTGATGCTCCTTTAGCCACTCCCCCTTCAACACAATCAGCAAGCATCCCTCTGCACATCGTATCAGGTTTGTGAAGTTGTAGTGTTTTGTTTTGTGTCCTACTTTTGTATATTTATGAAAATTTGCCAAGCAGAAACAGCGTCATTCTGGTTTTGTAGATTTATGCACTGTTAACCATAAGGAGTGTTCAAATAATGCCCGGGAGACATCACAAGATTACTCAAACATGCAAAGAAATCATAAAACCTCTTCAGGCATGTTCTTCAGAAGGAACAACATCAGAACACGGTAGAAAGCTTCAAACACTTGATTTTGCATAATCCCCATCAGTTAATTCTGACAAGTCTGAACAAGGTTATTACAAAAATATTGCAGTTATTAATAAATTTCAAGGTAAAATAAAATTAAAACTAAAACACATTAGTTTCACTGCAAACATTTTACAGTATCAATTGCTTAGAATGGAAAATAAGACTTCCTTAAACATTTATTACTATACAAAAGTCAATTTTTTTTTACTTTTAAAGCATTAAATAGCCTTTTTTACTGTTTTATTGTAATATAATGTGATGTGCAGTGTTTCCCACAGACCCCAACAGTAATGCGCACCAGTTTACTCACACAAATTATGTTTGAGGAAGAAATGTATTTTAAGTTTCATGTTGAGAATGACTTAACAAAATTTGTGTTAAATCTTGAGGTTTTAAACTCAACCAATATTAACTTGTTCTTGTACATAACTTTTTTTTGGTAAAGCAAAATAAATAGTATAATGGAACAATTATATAATAATACAAATTAAATAAATTTAAAAAAGACTATAATTAGACATAAAATACTAAAGGTACAACAAGGCAACTAAATTAAATGTGATAAAATCTCTCTCTTTCTAGGCTAAGTCTAGGGGCAAGTGACATTAGCTGCATAAATTGTAAAGTAAAATTATTTAAACAAGAATCCACATCACTATTGTCTGAAGAATTAGTGAAGACCCCAAAGAGACGGGAAGTTTTGTTTTTGTACAAACCACATTAAAATTAATAAATAAATAATTGCTGCATTTGTGATTGGTCAACTGCAACATTAAACATTCGAATATAACTTATAATGTGATTTCTCCAATTTTCCCAGTCCTCTCCCTGTCCACTCCTGTCCTCTCTGTGTCCTCTCTGTGTCCACTCTCCCTGTCCACTCTCTGTCCACTCTCAACGTCCTCTCCCTATGTCCTCTCTCCCTGTCCTCTCTGTGTCCTCTCTGTGTCCACTCTCCCTGTCCACTCTCTGTCCACTCTCCACGTCCTCTCCCTATGTCCTCTCTCCCTGTCCTCTCCTGTCCTCTCTGTCCACTCTCCCTGTCCACTCTCCACGTCCTCTCCCTGTCCTCTCCCCGTCCTCTCCCCTTTCCTCTCCCCTTTCCTCTCCCCATCCACTTGTCCTCCCCTGTCCTCTCCCCGTCCTCTCCCCGTTCTCTCCTCATTCACTTGTCCTCTCCTGTCCTCTCCCTGTCCTCTCCCCCTTTCCTCTCCCCGTGTCCTCTCCCCTGTCCCCTCTCCGGCTGTAGAGTCTGTGTTGTACCTGTACAGGTAGATGAAGAAGCAGAGCAGGTGGTATCCCAGTTTGATCATGGCCTCCTTCATGTGAGACTTGAGCTGTCCGCGGTTGTGGATCTCTGTCGGGTCAAACACTCCCATGTTCCCCAGCGGCACTTTCATGTACCTGCAGACAAATATTTGGTCAACATTAAAACAATGACTTTACTTCAGTGCCCCGCCCCCCCCCGCGTGACTATAGATAGTATCATTTGTCTATAAAATTGTTATAAGTACACCTCTGCGTAACACTGCCACCTTATATGACGCCAACAACGCTCGCTGGTTTACTGAAGTAGCAGTCACAAAGCGGGATGATTGTCGGCAATATTCGGCACGTTTTCGCTGAAAAATCTCAAGCGGCTTATCAGAGTGATTGGGGTGTAATGTATTTAAGTGACGCCTTAATTTATTGGGCTTCATGCTGTCGGCTGCCAACATTTTTAGACACAGTAAGCACACCGGTCTTTCCTCGTCTCCCACCGTAGTCACAGTGAAGCCAAGCGCTACATACGCTTCGTCATATTTCCTCGTCTTAGCTTTCGGGAGATTTTCGTTTGTCTCTTTATCTCCGTCTCTCTCCACCTGTCTTCTCATCCCTGTTAAATATGTTTTCATGGTGTCACTTGAGGGTCTGCTACACTTCGTGTCTACACTTCATACTCAAACTCTGTGCTGTGTGCAAAGCGTGCATGCTCAGTGCAAACAAAACTCCTACACCACCGAGCGAATGCTCCCTGCGCACACTCTGCCAATGAGAGCGCCACTGCCCCCTAATGTAGTGGAAGTGCAATTGCACTTTATTCTAAAGGCCCGTTCAGACCAAAGCGTCAAAGCGTCCACTTTCTATGTAAAGTCTATGTGGACGCGCGACTAAAGCGTCCTGCGTTTTTGCGGCGCGTTTTCGGCATCAGCGCGGCGCGAATCTGGCGCCAGCGCAGCGCGTCTTCAGCGTTTAGGCGTCAGCGTCAAGAAGTTGAAAATGCTGAACTTTTCGCGTCAGACGCGCTGCGTCAACCAATCAGGGACGAGTATCCAGAGACGCAGCGACGTTATTATCAGGAAGAAAAACCCCAGAACCAGAACGAGAACCACAAACATGAGCGGAGAATAAATATATACGCCACAATCACCGAGCCGATCGCGAGGAATACACCAGGACCGGACCAGGACCAAACCAGGACTAGACCGAGACTAGACCGAGACTAGACCGAGACTAAACGAGGACTAGACCGGGACTAGACCGTGATTAGACCAGGACTAGACCGGGACTAGACCGGGACTAGACCGGGACCAGACCGGGACTAGACCGTGATTAGACCAGGACTAGACCGGGACTAGACCGTGATTAGACCAGGACCAGACCGGTATTAGACCAGGACTAGACTGGGACTAGACTGGGACTAGACCGGGACTAGACCGTGATTAGACCAGGACTAGACCGGGACTAGACCGTGATTAGACCAGGACCAGACCGGTATTAGACCAGGACTAGACCGGGACTGATCCAGTGTCATTAGTGGAGTATAAATATATATACGCCCCAGTCGTCGATCCGATCTCCTCCGATGATGTTTTATGTCATAAAAACACTCAGTCTGGTCTGATATTGTTTCGGGAAAAGACCGGGACCGGGCTCTTGTTTCCAGGGCAACGGACGCGCGTCAAGTATTTTTGTCCCGTTCGTCCACGGCGTCAAAGATGCGCGTCGGGGGCGTCTAAACTCAAATGCAAAGGCTCCAAATAGAGGCGTCAAGGCGTTTTTTGACGCTTTGATGTGAACGGCCCTTAAGACAGTAAAAAAAATCAAAATAAAAAAATAAAAAAGCCTGCTCCCCGAGGTCAAACGCGCCCCCCTTGACGGAGCCTCGCGCCCCCCCAGGGGGGCGCGCCCCACTATTTGAGAAGCACTGCTTTACTTTGACGTGATGAAGTGTTAGTTAGTCATATTGGTTATTTTTATGTATTTATTTTTATTACATTCGTGGGTCTAGTTCTAGTTTAGTCCTATATAATTTATGTCTTGTTAATACCAATCTCTTGCTTTTTTATTTCTACTTATTTAGAAGTTTACTACCATTTTTAAAATATTTTTTACTCTGTGTTATTGTAATATATTGTGATGTGTGAGCTAGAGCCCGACCGATATATCGGTTGGCCGATATGAACAACCGGGAGCATATCGGCTATCGGCCGATATACTTGCTGATAGCGACCGATATTTCGCTATTTCCCGTGGGAATGTTATACCTCATTATAAATCTTACACTCTCTACATTATGTTCATTTAATCCAATTAACAGACAGATAAATGTTCAAATATGTGGCTCCGCATCAGTATTTATCTGTGGAGTCATTTGTGTGTGTCCGTACTGTCCCTGAACACACCCCCAGTGTCACGTGCTCATGTTTACACCCGCAGACACAGATCCATGTGCGCAACACTTAGATTATTTTCTTTTTACGGACAATCGGTTTGAGTCTGGATTAAAAGGACATTTATTAGTGCAGACTTGTGATGTGAGGAGGAGCCTGTGTGAGCGGTGAGTGTTGGAAATATGTCGACTTTGAAGCTAGTTTTGATCATTTGTTTATAGGTTAGCGATTAGCTGCTGTAGCTCTCACACATGAACAGGCTGTTTTCTATTGGTCTATTGTAAAGTGACTATATTGGCCGTATATTTGTTACTGGACCTGCATTGATATGTAAATGAGCTGTGAATAGACGTGTGAACGATGAAATTTGCGCATATAATTAATTACCGCGGTGCGCAGCATTTACGGCTAAAGGCTAATAGCGATTGTTTATTTACTCGTGACAGGTCGGTCGAGAACGAAACTGTTCTTAGATCCGGCTCTTTGAAGCGAACGAGGGGAGCCTGATCCTCATTGGGATTGGGAGTCATGTTTTCTCTTTCTCTCACTTTTTTTCTCTTCACGCCGTGTGCAGACTCTTGGTAGTTTGACAGCGGCAGCGGCTTAAAACGAAACTTTCAAAAATATGCGTGTGCATAGGAGAGAAAAAACGTGCATAAATATATTCAGGATAAAATAAATAAACCAGGACTAATCTTGGGGTCGAGAGAGGGAGAGAGATAGAGACCGAGTACCGACACTCAGTCCTGGTTAAGTTCTGGTTTAGTCCTGTTTTACACATGGTTTAGATCTGTTTTAGTCCTGGTTTAGTCTTTTTTCAGTCCTGGTTCAGTCCTGGTTTAGACCTGCTTTAGTCCTATGACATATCATGTAAAGAGGCAAAATAACAATAAATGTTGCCTAAATAAACCCAGTTTAAAAACCATCAGAGCCAAACCTAAGTTTTTTAAACAATTCAAGATTTACAGTGAATTTTCACATCACTAAATATATCGGCGATTATATCGGCTATCGGCAGCTCCAACTCTCAGTATATCGGTTTCATATCGGCAACAACAAAATCCATATCGGTCGGGCTCTAGTGTGAGCTACAAAGTCCAAGTAATTTCCGTTGTGGATCAATAAAGTCGGTCTAAGTCTAAGTATTGGGTTTAGTCCTGTATAAATGAAATAAAAACTAGGGGTGGGACATTAACATGTTATTTGCGATTAATTAATTACATAGAAAATAATGCATTAAAAATTATTAAAGCATTTTATCGCAATTTGCCAAACAACACACAATGTTTGTCAGTGCACCGTGTTGTTGTGGTACGCACATAATTCCGACTACAACAATCCATGAGCGTGGCATGAAAGTGCTCTGGTAAATTTCTATTTTAAGAACTACTTGATGGAAGTATTGACAAACATGTTGTTTATTACAAACTGTGCAGAGAAGAGTTTCATATCACAGAAGCACCTCAACCCTATGACACCAATTAAATGCAAACATGTGACAGCGAAAACAGACTGCTGGAGCTGCCGGTGGGAGCAGTTCTGGTCCGAGTAGAAACAGAGAAACAAACTCGAACAAATGACGGGCTTCAGGAAGAAAATGAGTAAGTGAGTAAGGCAAATATTGATGTGTGATTAATTGAGATTAAATAAAAGCCTGTGATTAATTTGATTAATGTTTTTAATCAAGTCCCACCCTTAATAAAAACATACATTGTTTAAATACCACCAGCTCTGTAGATTTTGTATCGCTGTTTGTTCTTGTTTGATGAGTTGTTATAGTAACTTTTTATAAATCTTATACACAACTGTTTCTTCACAGCTGCTCTAAAATACTTCAACTATTCGTTAGTGAATGAAGCTCAACTTTGGGTTTGAACACACGGCAGAGGATTATCAGATATAAGATACTAGTGATCAAAAAACTATATTATTAGAAAAATGTAAAATACTATGGAATATACTGCAGTTACATTTGTGATTTTACCTGTAAATATTCCAGACGGCCACTGGGAAGTTGAGCAAAAAAAATGAACCAGTGCAGAGACACCAACATCAGCATGGTGGACAGACACTGGCCGATCATCTCTGGGATCACCCACTGAAAAACAAGAATATACAATAAGAATAAACACCATACAATACAAAGGATAAATAATGTAGTATTAGGTTGTAGAGAATTTGACTCACTTTGTTGAGTTTGGAGCAGCAGGCTCTTGCATTGATATAATCACATTCAAGATCAGACAAAGTTATGATCTAAATATATGGTTAAGGACACAACAAAACTATAAAAATATCGAATGAAATGTGGTTTGTCACCTAAATTATGACACTGAAGTATGTAGATATAGAGTACATTTTAAGAGCTAAAAACACAACTAATTTCTAGGACTGAAGCAAAAAAAAAATTAGAAAAAGGTTCTTGGTTACTAAAGCAGATGTGAAATAAAGTGCGTACAAAAGGTTTAAATAATTAACAAATTTTGACTTAATTTGGTGGAATAATACCTGTTGCAATATAAATCATAGTTTTACACCAATCAAGAAGCAATTTGTGAAGAAAAGTTGGAAAAATATGTTCTATGTGAATTTTAGAACGTTCCAAATGGATGAGAACACACTGGGAAAACTCTGTCCAAAACGACAATTTACACTTAAACACATTTTTTTTAATATTTTAAACATTATTTCAACAAAATACAAGCATTTTCTTATATATTTGCTAGGTAACTGTAAGATTTATGTAAAGTAAAATTAAATTTGAAACCTAAAAAATGCTATACTGGGAATAAAAAAAAAAACTTTTAAGTAAAATATTAAATTTAATTATCTTAACTGTTTTAGTATAATTAGTAGTTTAACCTGTCATAGGTACTTCAAGCAAGAAGTGATTTTAAACTGTCCAGTCTCTCTATGTGTTCTTCTTCCTGCCATCTTTATAAAATAATAAGTTGACTAATAACAAACTTGGTTGATTAATTGACTAAACGACTACAGCCCGAGCTAGACATATGTTATTGGAGAAAGGTAAACTACTTGGGACAAATAAGAGTAAAAGTACTCTCCATAAAAGCAGTTAGTCCAAAACTCTGTGGCACGACTTTTAACAGGAACCAAAAAACGAGAACACATTACACCAGTTCTTGCGTCTTTGCTCTGGCTTCCTGTTCGTTTTAGAGATGGTTTTAAGATTTTATTGTTTTGTAAAGCTTTGAATGGACTGGCCTCATCCAGATTTACACCCCTGCGCTCGCTCTGAGGTCCGCGGACCAGCTCCAGCTCGTGGTCCCTAAAACGAGAATTAAAACCAGGAGGACAGGACCTTCTCTGTGGCCGCCCCCCCATGATCGAACAGCCTCCACAGTGGAGTGTTTAAAATCTCATTATAAGACACACTTTTACTCTCTGGCTTTTAACACCACAGGAGTTGTTTGGTTTTTTATTTACATTTACACTTATACGATTTTTTAGCTTTATGTATTTTAACACTTTTTTTTATTTATTATTGTTTTATTATGTTTTTTTTAATGAATTACTCTCTTTTATTTTCACTTTTATTGTCTTAGTTTGTGTGTGCAGCACTTCAGAAACTGTTATGTTTATAAAATTTGCAATATAAATAAAGAGAATTTGACTGAAATAAGGTAGACAGACTTCAGAGTAGGGGTGTGAAAAATAATGAAATATCTATATATCATATCATTTAATGTGATGATACAGTATCGATATCGTGGGCTGCTGTATCGATATATCGCGAAGAGTAATTTTTGGCATATTTTACTAAATTATTTTGCAACAGCTACAATTTTGTTGCTTGTTTAGTGGAAGGAAACTCATTTATGCAACACATTTGATATTTTCACTGTTTTGATGATTAAAACATTTGTGTTTCATAAGAACTTTGCACAAGAAGTGGTTTAACAAAGACTTTTAGTATCACTGACATGATTTAACCTTTATTTTTATTGAACCATATGAAATCGATTTGAAATATATCGTACCGAATCAAAAGTGCACTGTATTGAGGTATGAATCGTATCGGCAACTTCTTAATGATACCAGCCTGAACCGCGTGAGTTGTGTGATCCTGTGTCTTGCATTTAAATGTATCTTATACATTTTATAGTTAAATACATAAAGCCAAAAACTCTAACACTTTTTATTCATTTTTTTATTACTTACTCTGTTTATTATCTCTTTTATTGCCTTAATTTGCTTAGCCAGTACTTTGGAAACGGTTACGGTTATAAAACGTGCTCTATAAATAAAGTGAATTGGACTGAAACAACGTGGATAGACTTTAGAGTTCACAATGACAAGTTATTACAAATGATTAAACCTTAAAAATCACTTTTGGGATGAAAACAATGTGAAAAGCAGAGATTTTCCAAGACCAAAGAACATTTAAAACTCACATATTGTACTTATATAAACATCAAGCTATTACAAGTGACAATAATAGACCACTAAACCTCAGAAATGCAGAGAAAATCCAAAAACAAAGACGGTTTTCACTTTCTAATCCAGAACAAGTCATGACATTTACACAGACTTGACTTTATTATAAATCTCGTGATCGCTGTTACATTTTAATCCCGTGTTTTTGCTCTTACTGTTTTGCTTGATCACTTCGAAACTTTCTCCATTTACCTGCACCGATGTTAAATTTAGTTTTTAACCTAAACTTTGGCAGAATTTGACCACGCCTTGTCAGAAGTTGCTGCAGTTTAAAGCGGCTGCTAACTACGCCGCGGCTAGTGCTAACGCGGCTAGCTCCGGATGCTAATTTCTATCCAAAACATGAGAATTAAAGCTGCTAATGACACAAACTTGATGCCGAATTGTGAGCACAAATCACAGCCATCATCGTAAGAAAAGGATACGAAATAGACCGCAAGAAAAATGAGCGCACAGCAGTCCACCAGAGACAGAATGAACACGGCCGCCTCCATGTTTGGGACCGGGCTTCTTCTACGGTCGCTTCTGCAGTGTTTGGTGTAAACAAAGAGCGCTGCGTGAATGTGTCGCCCCTCACTGGACAAAACCGGGAGTGTCTGTGTTTTTGGGTTACGCTCAGATCTAAAATCTCCACCACTCCATGATTCTGTCCCATATATACAGTGTTGGGGAGTAACAGATTACATGTACCGGAGTTACGTAATCAGAGTACAAATTATGAGTAACTGTATTCAGTTACAGTTACTGTTTCAGTGAGTGGTAATTGGATTACAGTTACTTTGGTTGAAATAAATGGATTACATGGTGATATTTTCCTGTTTTCACATTTTGGGCTAAACCAGGACTAAAACCAGAACTAAACCAGGACTAATCCAGGACTAAACTAGGACTAAACCAGGACCAATACCAGGACTAAACCAGGACTAATACCAGGACTAAACTAGGACTAATCCAGGACTAATATCAGGACTAAACTAGGACTAAACCAGGAATAAACCAGGACTAATATCAGGACTAAACCAGGACTAAAACTAGGACTAAACCAGGACTAAACCAGAACTAAACTACGACTAAAACCAGGACTAAACCAGGACTAATACCAGGACTAAACCAGAACTAAACCAGAAATAAATTAGGACTAAAACCAGATCTAAACTAGGACTAAAACCGGGTCTAAAACCAGGACTAAACAATATGACACCTAACAGTAGGTGGACATAATTTAAGGCAGCAGTGATCTCATATAGAAATCATTTCTCTGTTAATAGAAGCAGACAAAACGTTTCATGTTAAAACTATTAAATAAAATAAAAATAAAAAATAAATTAAAGCCCCTCTTGGCGATGGTGGTGCACCGTTTGTAAATGGTCACATTTTTCTATAACGCCTTTCCACCTTCAAAGCGCTTTACAACAAGGAACCACTCACCCATTCACACACACATTCACACATGGGTTAAGTGTCTTGCCCAAGGACACAACAACAGCATTCATCTGTGGGAGCTGGCACCACCACACCAGTCAACCTGTGGGTTAGTCGATCTGACCGCTCAACCTGTAATGTTTATGTCGAGAGCTGGAATCGAACCACCAACCTTTAAATGTAATGAACTACTCACATTTGATATTCTGTGAGTTTGTTAAAAGAGACCTAAAATGTTTTAGTCATTTAAAAAATCTGTGTACATGTTGTATAAATTCAACTGAGGGGTCTAAATGTAATGTTTCTAAACACATTTGTCTGTCGTTCAAAAGGAAATTAAGAACATTGTTTATTTTATTAATTTCTTGTGGCAGGAACCTTCTGAGGAGGCCAAGAGGATCAAGGACGTAGTAGGGAGTACTATCTGTGACATAAAGGTGAGTTGTTGTACATCTGTATAGAGAATGGTATTAATGTATTCCTGTATCTCTCATTGTTTGTTAATGGATTTTTAGACTTAAGACTTAGACAGATTTTGAAATTACTTGGACACAGGAGTTCACACATCACAATATAATATAATAACAAAGAGTAAAAAAAAAAAAAGCTAATAAACTTCTAAATAAGTAGCAATAAAAAATAGTAAGAGATTGGTATCAGTAAGACATAAATTATATAAATGTATGTACAGTAAGTAAAAACAAATATCATATAATATAAACAGTATATCAGTTTTATTCAAGAAATCAAAAGGAAATTATCATATTTATATATAGAGTCTAGTTTGATTTAAGTATTAAAACTAATATTTGTGTCTGTATGTAATTTATTTGGAATTTATTATTACCATTTGTGTATTTTTTTTTTTACTTTTTGCTATTTTAATAAAAAATAAAAATGTGTGAGTCCAAATAATTTCCCTTGTTTGTCTAAATCTAAGTTTTAAGTCTAATTTGCTGCATTTCTTTGTATTATATGTGTCTACAAAGCCCCAGCTCAATACATGCCTTTTATATTTTTAACAGGTTTTATTTTCCTGACAGAGTCCATCGTGGTTACCCTTTCCACTTTTGCTTCTCACTCACACAAATATATGAATAAATACGACAAAAATAATAAAAATAACAAATAAAATGCATCACAATAAAACATAAACAAATAATAATGAATGTGGCACTAAAATTATTTAACAGGCAAGAATCTGCAGACGTCTCAGACAGAATATATGACGTTTTAATAGACAGCAGCATTCTTCAGATAAATAAATGCATTCACAAAACAATATTCAAAAGTGCAGAGCAGACATCCTGTTGAAACTTGTTGCATATTGTCACAGATTTTTATTTTATTTTTTTATAAATGCCCAGTTTGTGATGTCCGTGGTGGCAGTGGCAGTCCATTCACTCCCGCTCTGTGCATAGAAATATAAAACTTTTTTTTTTTAATGAATAAATCTCGTCTCATTGTAGGCACATCTTTAGCTCAGCCCAGGAAGGCGTGAAGCTCCTGCTCATCAAAGCCCAACTGCTTCAACAAACTGCAAAGAAAAGAGAAAGTCCAGGTCACGCTACGCAAAAAGATGAACAGTAAACAATGTATGGATAAAAAAATAAAGATAAACTGAGTAACTTTTCTGGTAGAGGGCCTGTTAACTGCTTGTCACCATGGAGATGTTATTATTTTGCCTAAAATGTCCTCCAGTGTTGAATTACATTTGTCTATTCATGGAGACAAGTCGTTAACACCACAAGGCAGAGGTGGGACCAAATCATCTCAATTACGTCTCAAGTCTTTGACCTCAAGTCCGAGTCAAGTCCCAAGTCAAATACAGTCAAGTCCAAGTCGAGTCTCGAGTCACTGGCCAATAAGTCCAAGTCAAGTCCAAGTCATCTGCTTCAAGCCATTTCAAGTCTTTAAACCAAAAAAATACCAAATATAGCTTAGATTTTTTGCAATTTATATGACTTTTAAGATAAATTGTACTTATAAAGTCATAGTATATTTATATATGAGTATTTATAGAGTATATAAGAGTTGAAGAAATGCAGATGTTTCCTTTTTAAATGTCCTGACAAGATCTTAGAGTGAATCAGTCAGAATACGGAACGAATTCAGATTTAAAAGTGCTTCTCAAGTCTTCTCAAGTCACAGGCCTCAAGTCAAGACCAAAGTTACTGACCTTCAAGTTCAAGTCGAGTCCCAAGTCTTAGTCCATTTTATCAAGTCTAGTCTCAAGTCCTAAAAATAGTGCCTTGAGTTCAAATCTGACTCGAGTCCAAGTCACGACTATGCCACAGGTCAGATCTGCTCACAGTAAGAATTCAGATTTTTTTTGTAGTTAAAAACACCTGTAATAAAATAAAAAACAGATAGATAAAATTGATGCCAAACTGTGGAACATTCCAGACAAAGCAATAACATCTTCAAAAGAAACAAGCAGGTGACAGAGCCTCACCATGAAAAGTTACACAATGCATCTTAAAAGCATTTATAAACTTATAGCAGTGAATAAAAAATAAACAGGATGCAAGAAATGCATTATGAAAGTTTGGAATAAGTTCAGAGCACTGCAAACATTTTAAACAACTAGTTATTTTTTTTCTTGTAAAAATCAGGTACAGCGTCTTTAACACAAACCAATTATATCCAGTTAATGTATTTATGAGTAAAAATGTGTTGTTCACTTGGCTGAATGTTAAATAACCACATACGTACTCTATAGTGATCTCAGTGAATGCGCTGGGGCCACAGATGCAGGCGAAACTTTTGGTCTCGTCTGGTTTGGAGACACTTTCTCTGAGCAAAGTCTCGCACACTCTGCCCCTCGCTCCACTCCAGCTCTCACACGGCTCCGACAAGACGTACTCCACCTCAAACCTGCACAAAACATTAAAATGCATTTACTATAACAACATGAAGCTCTTGAAGTAATAGTGATTAGTATTCATGGGGTGCTTTAGACTTAGTTTTGACATGGGATGGTCCTGGTTTAGTCCCGGTTTAGTGCAGCTTTCGTGGAGTGTTTCTAGTCAGCAGTGGTCAGTATTGATCAGAAGTGGTCATAATAAACAACAAAAATGATTCTCCACATAGTTATTTTTAGCCTATATCACATGCTTTGTTTTTTTTTGCTAAAAATGTCATGAAATATAAATATACGTACTAATTATACCTGGATTAAACTACTCAAACCCAGATCTGTATTGACTCGTGTACCTTTCATCTGTAGCTGCCAGTTCGTCCAGTTCCGTCCGCCACAAAATGTCTTCCTCTTTTCGATTAAAAAACAGAAGCTTTGTTTTCCTGCAAGCAGAAGAAAATATGATCATTTCTTAGTATAACATTCAAACTCTCTATCTAAATTATAGTTATTAATTAACTATAATAACAATATATAATAATGATTAACTATAATAGTCCTTGTGTCTTGTACGTTGCTCACCTGATAGTGTCGATGTCCCTCAGTGCGGCGTGGATGAGGCGGGCCATCGGCGTGAAGCCCGTTCCCGCGGCAACGAGGAACAGGTGAGTGACATCACGAAGGGGACGGAGGCTGAAGCTGCCCTCAGGACCACTCACACTGATGCTGTCCCCTGTGGGAGATTAGTTTTTTATTTTTATGCACACTTCATGTCACAATTTGTGGTGCAGGTTTTCAGTAGATTTTCTAGTTCAATAAATCGGAAAATGAAATGTGAAATGCGTCCAACAAATATAAGGTCATAGAAAATCTGTAATTGTAATCATATTGTACCGTATTTTCCACACTATTGGGCGCTCTGGATTATAAGGCGCACTGTCACTGAATGGTCTATTTTCAAACTTTTTTCACATATAAACCGCACTGGACTATAAGGCGCATTAAAGGAAACACAACAGTGTGATGGGTGAGTGGTTTTGTTTGTTTGTGGCATTCACGGTGACTCTGGGCTTTGTTCAGTTGTGGCGTGTAGGGAGGGTGCTGTCTGGGACCAACGGATTGTCGGCGTGTTCGCAGTGACTCAGTTGTTCAGTTGTGTCTAGAAGTGGCACATCGCGCTCGCTTTTTCAGTTCGTTCCTCCGTTCTGTTCCTCATCGGCATGGACTGATGAGTGTGGCCGCGAGTACGTTTCGCTGTGCGGTTGCTGTCTGCTCCGTGTGGCTTTGTAGTTTAGTGAAGTCGTGCTGGGACACCCGAGTAAATTCGTGTATAGGGCGCTCGATTGTGGGGCACACAGTCATTTTTTGACAGGGTTGGAGGCTTATGAGCATGAACTATAGTACGGAAAATACGGTAGTTTATCTGGTTCAATAAATCAGTAAATGAAATGTGAAATCCGGCCTACAAAAATAAGATCATGCAAACTGTGTAATTGTAATTATATTGCAATTAGTAATTTGATCCTCATCAGACCATAAGTCCTGGTTTAGTCCTGGTTTAATCTAAGTAATATTGCAATCTTGTGATAAGAATGACACTATCAGACCAATGGAGATATTAACCATAAATAGGTCCAAACGTTTACGGTGTGGCGGACATTACCTGGGTTCATCCGGTGCAGGTGAGGCGTGAACAGTCCGTCAGGATAGACTTTGATCATGAGGTAGAGATCTGAGTCTGGAGCTGAATCCTGAGGAGTCCAGAGGGTCCGGTCTACAGGAGTGTACGGCCGCACCACCTCTGCGTCTAAAGAGAGAGAGAGAGCACAAAAACAGGGTATACCCAGGTTTGACTACCCCAAATTTAAGAGTTTTTTAAGACCTTTTTAAGACCTTTTTAAGACCACTTAAATGAAAATTAAGACCAACATCGCACCCATTATGCAGGCGAAAAACACCAGATTCGATTCTAATAATGACCAACCAACTACAGCACTTTATGTAGAATCTAAGAGTCATTGTGGATTAAACCTACACTTCCCCATGATCCATCCAACGTCTTCCTCCACTCTACTGTTTGTTTACTCATTGCCGCCGGCGCCAGAAACCAAAGTATTGTTTGCGCAAACTCCAAATTAGACGTTCATTCACGTTACATAATTTCACGTTGTTGTTTTTTTTTCCTCCATCCTTTTAACATTGCCCTGCTCCCGGTTGTAAAAAATAGCCTAATGAAATTTAAGACCTTTGTGAAAAAAATAAGACTTGGGCAACATAATTTAAGACTTTTTAAGGCCTTAATTTAGGAACATGAAATTTAAGACCTTTTTAAGACTTTTAAGACCCTGCGGCTGCCCTGAAAATCGTATCGTAATAACGCGACGTGTTAATATTCTGTCCTCACCTTGAATGTGAGTTTTGAGGTAGACGTGTTTTCCCACAGGCACCTGCATCACGGTGCCTGGAGGCAGCTGCAGTCTGTAAATCTGTGTGTTGTGGTTCACTTCAGTCTGAGACACCAGCACACAGTCTCTGTAAAACACCGCTGGAACACAGAAAACATGATTTAGTACATTTGTGGCTAAACCATAAATACAGCTAAGAAGAGTAGGTACCACTGTGGGGCAGCAGTGGCTACAAAAGTATCTTAAAATGCACAAAATTGTTCTAAAAAATGTGCTTTGAGTGTCTGAAAAGGAGTTTTATCCAATGTATTACTATAATAATTATCATAATGATTTTGTAAACATCAATTAACATGGTTTATCTCTTCATCAATCAATAAACATTTTAATAACACAGATTTTAAGTCTCACCTCTGTCTTGTTTTCGTAGAAATGTGTTGTGCGACTCGAGCGGCTGACCGAGACTCGCCCATTTTCCGGCTGTTCGTTTGCGACACATGACCTGGATCTTTCCCACGGAGCAGGCGGTTTGAACTGACGACAAATAAGAAAACAAGTCAAACTGTGAAACTGTAATCAACAAGACTCGTGTGATTTAAAAATAACAAATCTGTTGGTTCAATTTATTGCCCATAACATTGTCAAACTGATTTAAAAAGTCGTAAGAAATGAATCGTACCTGAAACATTTTCCTCCACTTCCTCTGTGAGCCCTGAGAGAACAGAAGTGACAGTAAAGTGCGTGTAGCCAAAATTAAATGAAATATGAGTATGATAGTAGTTTTTTTATCTTTTGAAAGTAAAAATAAAAGAATATTTATCAAAGCTTAAAGTTTCCTGGTGGTTTTCAGATACTACACAGTTTTCCACATTGTATTCTCATAATAACAAACATCTACTAGTTCAAGGCAAACTTAAACAAAATTAAACTCACTTAAATTAATCATGTAGGACATTTTCTGCAGAAGAACCTCAATTCGTAACGTGCCCTCTCGGAGATCGACAACTGTGCAACCTGAGCTGGGAATCTAAAAAAACAACAACAACAAAAACATTTAGTACAAAATAAAATGTAAACACTGACATTAAACAGCTTTGTGTGTCACCTTTCTTTTGGCATAAACAACAAGATGAACTGTAGAATCTGTCTGGAACCAGTCGTACCTGAAGCAAAATCACAAAGATAAAATTATAATATGATTTAGAGTTAATAAATGACATTAAATTTAAAGAGGACGTGTTGTTCTTTGGTCTGTTATATAGTTATTCGTGACACTGTTGGATCATTTTGTTATATTTTGGACATTTTAAATTGCATAACTGGGTACACAATGCAGCTGAATCATACGTGTATGACTAATTAGAGCAGAGCAGTGGGTGTGTACTGGTTGTGGTGATGTCTTGAATACAGCATAAAGACAAAGATAAAGATAAAAAAAATATGCATGAATCTTAATACAACATCGAGAGAACTGAGAGGGGGAAACAACTATAAAATGGTTAAAAGCACAAAAAAGTCCCCAATTCTGCACAAAGTCTCCTTGAAACACACAAATTTAGGAATAGAAGCAAAGTCCTGCTCCGGGTCAGGTTTTGGGTTTCGCCTGCGGTCACTCAACAGACTTCCAGACCTCTCCCGAGAGTGAGTCCTGGTTCAGTTCTGGTTTAATCCTGGTCGAGCCCGTTTTAATCCTAGTTCAGTCCTGGTTTAGTCCTGGTACAATCTGGGAATCAGTCCTAGGTTAGTCCTAGGTTAATCCTGGCTTAGTCCTGGCTTAGTCCTGGCTTAGTCCTGGCTTAGTCCTGGCTTAGTCCTGCTTAGTCCTGGCTTAGTCCTGGCTTAGTCCTGGTTTAGTCCTGGTTTAGTCCGTGGCGTGAGCGGCGCAACAGTCCGGCATCTCGATCAATGTTTTTTCTGCTCAGTAAATAAATCCTGTGAAGTGATGACAGTCGAGTCGCGTCTGTGAATTTGTGTTCGTACTGAAGAAAGCAAAACCGTTTAATTTCATTTTGTGATTGTAATTCTCGAAGTCATAACTTTTCAATTCGTATTCTGATGGATGCTTGAGTTAGAAAGCTTTTAATCTGTGCATGATTTATCACGGGCGCGGGCGGGTAACGGGTGGAATGTTAACGGGTTTACGGGCGGGGTGTGGTGCTGATCTGCGTGGGAGCGGGTCTCTAAAAATGGACTTTTGCAGGACTCTGGTGTGAAGTTTGTTTATTTATCTATCAGGGACAAAAGAGGTAATATGTTTGCGCCAGATTATGCCAAAATTGCTCATTTCTACCAGGTTGATGTAAAAATGGGGCATAAAATACAATGTACAATACAAAGTAGAAGTATATTAATCCAATGACTCATCCAGTCAGTCAAATAAAGTAAAACCACTCCCAAGAACGTGAGACATCCACATCCACTATTTACACATATACATTCAGACAAGGCAGTTTAAGGTCAATGTATCACGGTGATTTTTTTCTGGAGGTCACAAACTACTAAGATATTGAAGAGATAATATGTGTATTTAATATAACAACGTGGTTCTTAAAAGTTCTGTAGTTATATATGTGTATTTTATAGGGCTGGGTATCATTACGAAGTTGCAGATATGATACATACCTCGATACAGTGCACTTTTGATTTGACACCATATATTTCAATAAAAATAATGACTAAATCATGTCAGTGATAATAAAAGTATTTCTTAAACCACTTCTTGTGCAAAGTTCATATGAAACACAAACATTTTAATCATCAAAACAGTGAAAATGTCAAATTTGTTGCGTAAACAAGTTTCCTTCCTCTAAACAAGCAACAAAACTGTAGCTGTTTAACAAAAACAGCTCTAACAAAATAATTTAGTAAAATATACCAAAAAAAAAACAATCTGGTGATATATCGATACAGCAGCCCATGATATGAATACTGTATCATTACATTAAACGATACGATATATTGATATTTAGATATTTTTGCATAGTATTAATACAAAAATTTAAAGGTTCTGTAGTTATGTGTATTCAAAATAAAATGTGGTTCTTAAAGGTTCTATAGTTATAAATGTGCATTTAATATAAAAATGTGGTTATTAAAAGGTTCTGTAGTTATATATGTGTATTTAACAGAGGTGGGACCAAATCACTGTTTTGCAAGTCTCAGGTCTTTGACCTCAAGTCCGACTCAAGTCCCAAGTCAAATACAGACAAGTCCAAGTCCGAGTTTCGAGTCACTGCCCCCATAAGTCCAAGTCTCGTCTCCTTTGAGCTTCAAGTCATTTCAAGTCTTTAAACCAAAGTACCAAATATAGCTTTGGTTTTTGGTTTTATATGATTTTTAAGATAAACTGTACTTATTTATACAATGAGTATTTATATAAGAGTTGTAGAAATGCAGTTTTTTTCCTTTTTAAACATCTTGACAAGATCTTAGTGTGAATCATTACAGTCAGAACAGAATGAATTAAGATTTAAAAGTGTGTAATATCAGTTACTTTGTCTTGTAGTCTGCACTGAAATGGAAGGATGTTTTTTTTGTAGTTGCCTCTGTTTTACTGTATATTACTTTATATTACTGTAGTACATTTGAGGATACAACATCACAGTACTTCAGTTACATCCAAAGTAACAAATAGAGAAGTTGGACATGTTAAAGTTTGTTCCTGTAAATTTCAGCCCCGCATGTAACAACTGTAAAGAGAAAAGTCTTTCCTAAAAAATTTTTTTTAGGAGAAGCATCGAGTTTTCTCAAGTCACAAGCCTAAAGTCCAAGTCAACTCTCAAGTCACAGGGCTCAAGTCCAAGTCGAGTCCTAAGTCTTTGTCCATTTCATCAAATCAAGTCTCAAGTCCTAAAAATGGTGACTCAAGTTTGACTCAAGTCCAAGTCACAATTTGCAAGTCCCCACCTCTGGTATTTAATATACAAAAACATGTTTCTTAAAGGTTCTGTAGTTATACAAATATCACACTGTAACTTTATTGTGACATCCTTAAATTTAATTATATTAAATCGTATCGTAATTACCGTGGCCGTCCGTCTTTCTCTGGGGGCGGAGCGACTGAGGTAGGTGGGGCGAGGGTGGTGGGTGCAGGAGGAGGGGCAATAACAGCTGCAAACAAAATAATAAAAATTAAACTAAATTCTAAACAATGAACCACAAATGCATTTAGGTTCTTTCTAAATACCATTATTCGCGATAACAGGTTTTGTGGACATTCTTCCCACCAGACACTCTTTCAACATGGACTCATAGTTCACCCACCGATGGACCTGGACACAAACATTCATCAGTAAAAATGATGAGTATTGGGTTTTATAGAGTTCCTGGGTGTTATGGAGACTTGCCTGGTCGAACAGGTCTGTGCCGTCGATGCCCGCTGCCCTCATCAACTCGTCCTCTCCTCCAGGGTGATAGTCCATGTACGGAGTAACGTTATACACCAAACCTGAAAACACAATCAACAGACTCATTCAATTTGGAATCAAAAGATAAAGTCTGCTGTTGTAGCTGATAATTGATATTTGTGATATACAAAGGTTTATAATCAAAGCAAGGCCCAGGAATTCAGAACTCAGATGAACTTTGAACACTTTTCCACCATAAGGTTCATAAATTCACTTTTCACTTGTTTAATGATTAATGACTAATTGCATTTTTCTTATAAATAAATAAATAAATGAATGAATGAATGAATTAATTAATCATTGCATTTATATAGCGCCTTTCGAGATACCCAAAGCGTTTTACCGTTCATTATTCTTTCACTCCACATTTGGTGGTGGTAAGCTACTACTGTAGCCACAGCTGCCCTGGGGCAGACTGACAGAAGCAAGGCTGCAAATCAGCGCCATCGGCCCCTCGGACCACCACCATCACTCACACACACACCACTTTCATACTAGGCAATGAGGGTGAAGTGTCTTGGACACAACAACAGTTTTTGCGACTGTTGCCCCCCTGTGCCACCTGATTTTCCCAGTGTCTCCCATCCAAGTACTAACCAGGCCCTGCTGAGCTTCTGAGATCTGACGGGATCAGGTTTTGACAAACCGGTATGGCCACAAATAAACACAATAAATAATACAATTTTTACCATAATTGCACTATTAATTCCATTTTAAGTCTTATAACTTACTTGACCATATTGGATCTTATATTATTCAGGATCTTTACCAAAGAGGTCTCGGCGTTAAAGTGTCCTCCAAAACCGGATTGATATTATTGGAATTAATAAAATAATTTACCTGTTTTTTTTTTGTTTGTTTTTTTATTTTGCTTAAAAATGGAAAGTTGGACAGGGGTCTTTAATTATCGAGCAACGAGGGCTCCAAGTTATCCTTCTTGAACAAAGGTTTGACCATGGCATTTGGTGTAGGAAATCAGTCTGTTTAAGAAGACATATCTGATACATACAGGAAAAATTGTAGTAGCAGTGGTGTAGTAGTAGTAGTAGTAGTGGTGGTGTAGTGGTGTAGTAGTAGTAAAACCAAGTAAAAATAGTAAAATAGTAATAATAAATAATGGCAAATGGCAAAATAGTAAAAACAAAAATTGGTCCCACACCAATATGGAAATTACTAGTAGCAATATAGCCATAATGTATGTATTCTCCACTTGTTAAAATGTCTATAAAGCAGAATTTCTTTATTTTATTTATACCAGCCAGTATGCTTGTATATAGAAAGTATAAATTAACCTTAAAAAGATTTTGTTTACATCCATCTGAACACTCTATCCTGAATTTTCCCTTATCATCATTTATCCATGCTCCTCTGTTCCTGAGAGATAAGCTCACCTCTGATGCAGGTCCAGCAGTCGTCTCTGGTGTTGTGCTTCTGCAGTTCTTCTGGAGTCACTTCTATGAGTCTCCCTCTCAAACCTGTCAGATCTTTGCCGCTTTTCGCAAATCGGATCCAGTCCATCAAACTGTGGCCCGGCTTCAAAGCAACCTGTCATAGGAAAGAACGAAAAGAGTTTGTCAGTGGGTTTGGTTCATGTTACGTCATAGCATGGTCCAAAAGTTTCAGATTGAGCTGGAGGACAAATTTTATGTCAGAAGAAGGACAAGTGGCAATCTTATGGTAGAGTTCTAAGTTTAAATTGACAAACTGCACATGTTCTTATTAATGATTAATATCTGTGTAATTTCTGAGCCTTAGCACATAAAGGAAAACCAGTTAATGAAGTCTCCTCCCTGACAGCTCAAATTAACTAAGAAGAAATTAGTTTAAGAATAAAAAAAAATGATCAGTAACTCAACTACAACTATACAACTATACAAAGATTCTTCAGGCCATGAGATGAACAATGGCAAGTTTGTGGACCTAATCCCAAACAAAATGACACATCTAATCAACATAAATTATGGAGTGTTTTGATCCAAGCATTACTGTCTAAATCAGACATGTCAAACTCAGGCCCAGGGGCCAAATTTGGCCCGCGATATAATTATACTTGGCCTGCGAGATCATATTAATTATATATTAGAGCTGCCCGCCGGCTACAGATAGACTACAGAGACATTATTTATTTAAAATGTTGTTATTATTTAATATTTTGCTTGTTCTGGATTCAGTGTTTAAACAAAACTATTATTAAACATTTATTTTAATAAGAAAAGGTTTAACGTTACATAACTCGAAAGAAGAGAAAACATGCAGATGTTGTTGAAATTTTTCATTAAATATTTAGTTTGGCCCACGCCTTAGTCCCAGTTTGTAATTTTGGCCTCTGTGAATTTGAGTTTGACACTCCTGGTCTAAATTATGGTAGTATAGAGCATTTCTAGATTTAGACTTAGATTTAGACAAACTTTATTGATCCACAAGGGAAAATATTTGGACACAGTAGCTCACACTTCACAATATAATATAATAACAAAGAGTAAAAAGTATAAATAGTAATAAATTCAAAATAAATTGCAAAAAAGAGCAAGAGACAGGTGTCAAATAAGGCATAATTACATAAAAGTAAACGTACAAGTCAAAATAAAATAGAAAAATAAGTAATAAAAAATATAAAATCTCATAGGAAAACAGCGCAACAATGATACATAATGATGATTTCTAACTTGATTTTGGTTTATTTTCATGCTTTTAAACACACAAACCATGGTCAGTGTCCCGTGTTGGGGAGTAACAGATTACATGTACCGGGGTTACGTAATCAGAGTACAAATTATGAGTAACTGTATTCAGTTACAGTTACTGTTTCAGTGAGTGGTAACTGGATTACAGTTACTTTGTTGAAATAAATGGATTACACGGCAGAATTTTCCTGTTTTCACATTTCGGGCTATATCCTCCATTTTTTTTCTTTTTTTGGGGGGGAAATTCCAATCATTGCTGGAAACTAAACTAGATTCTAAACCAGGACTAAAAACAGGTCTAAACTAGTTCTAAACTAGATCTAAACCAGGTCTAAACAGGTCTAAAACCAGGTCTAAACTAGATCTAAACCAGGACTAAAACCAGGTCTAAACTAGCTCTAAACCAGGTCTAAACTAGATCTAAACCAGATCTAAAACAGGTCTAAAACCAGGTCTGAACCAGGACTAAAACTCGATCTAAACTAGAGCTAAACCAGGTCGAAACCAGGTCTAAACCAGGACTAAACCCAGTTCTAAACTAGATCTAAACCAGGTCTAAACGAGATCTAAACCAGATCTAAAACAGGTCTATAACCAGGTCTAAACCAGGACTGAACCATCCTGGTCTTTGCTTCTCTACAGAAAATAAAGTAATCCAAAGTATTCAGATTACGTTACTCATTTTAAGTAATTTAATAGATTACGTTACAAACTACATTTTGAGGTATGTAATCTGTAATCTGTAGGGGAATACATTTTAAAAGTCACCTTCCCAACACGGTCAGTGTCTGTGGCTGCGTAACCCACCTTGTTCCTCCCGGTACCGGCGGATCCTCCCGGTGAAACCCGCTGCTGGGAGCTCGGAGCCGGGAAAGCCTGGGTCGGTATATTCAACATGTTGTGGACGTTTCTAAAACAGCTCCAATTCCGTATGAAATCTGTCAAAATAAACCCGAAATGACCATCAAAGCTCAAATTAAAGAGCGGTCTTCATCATGGCTTCCTGGTTTCAGTCGCTCCGTTTTGCTCGGGGTTATTTTGTGATGCATTTCTGTCAAAACTGCAATGTTGTTAGCGACGCGGCTAGGCTAAGCTAACAAAACATCACCGCGGATTAGCTCTAGTTGAATTTAACAACGATTTACGAAGTGTTATTAAGGTTTTTCTGTCTTAAATACACGACAGCTGGAGTTAGATCCTTATAACAGCGCGCATAGCTTCAGTATTGTGGTGTAATTCCGGCGCAATGCCTCATTTCGGAAGCGTCTCTGTTCTGTAAAAAACTACAAATGGGTCGCGTAAGGTGACGTGTGGGTTGCCAGATCGTGTAAGCAATTCTCCGCGTATTTTATTTATTTATTTTTATTATTAGTAGTATTATTTGTTTATATATTTAATTCATATTCAGTTTACACATTTAAAAAAAACATATAAGACTAAAATTATAGAGAAATATAGAGAAATACAATTAATCATATTTTACCCCATCGAACCTACAGATTAATTGTAACCCCCAATTATACTTATATATTTAAGTGTATTTATAACCAATAGGCATAAATATTAACATGTACAGGGTCAGTGTGTGTATGTGTGTGTGTGTGTGTATGTGTGTGTGTATGTGTATGTGTGTGTGTGTGTGTGTGTGTGTGTGTGTGTGTGTGTGTGTAGTGTGTGTGTGTGTGTGTGTGTGTGTGTATGTGTGTGTGTGTGTGTGTGTATGAACATCGACGTATATTGGATTGTGTTCTGTATTGTGTATGTGTATACTAAAAGATTCAGGGACATTTCCTTTTCCTGCTCTCATAAAAGAGGAGGGTTTTTTGTGTTGTTTTCGGTAAATAGTTCAGCCATCTTGTATCTATATGTTCTATATCTTAATAGGATTTGGCAAAATAAGTGTTAAACTTCAGCCTAAACCCCTTCAGTCTATAGAATAACCTTATTGATATGCATTAACTGCGTAATTTGTTTTTTGAGTTAAATCATTGTAATATGATATATGATTCTGTTAATTGATCAAAGAAAATACACTACTACTACTACTACTACTACTACTACTATTACTACTACTTCTACTACATATAGTGTAAAAACACATCAACAGTGTCACAACATGAAACACACAAGAAATGAATGAAAAGAAGCAAAAAGAAGAGTCGTCTTATGTTATTTGTCCCCTTTTCCCTTTTCAAGACAAAACATCAACACCGATTGTTACTTTAAAACATTTCAAGTCAGTACATTTCAGTTCAGGCACAATTATTAATCAATTGCAAACAAAAACCTTCACTATTATGCACAACAACTTAGTTTCCTTTTTCATACATACACATTGCATTAGATTTTATGTGTTTTTTACATGTCATTATTGTACTTGATTCTTTTATTTCTTTGTCAAGACGATTCTACAAATTAATTCCTTTCACAGCAATGCTTCACTTCATAACCTTGCTTTTGAATCTGGGTTTTTTTCAACATGTAGGTTCAAAATATTAAGTATTGGCCTACAGCAGATTTTCTTTTTCAAATGTATGGTCTACAAATTTAAATATATTCACATTATAATGTCAATGTGAAATTTATTTATAAAGCACATTTAAAACAACCAAAGGCAACCAAAGTTGTGTACAGTTAAATGTATACCTAAGACAATATAGTAGTAAAAATACACAACAATGATAATAATAATAATAATAAATAAATAATAAATACAGTACAATATTAAAAGTTTGAATATAAAAGATGATCTGGTCTACACTGAATTAAAAGCTAAAGCAAAAGAAGTGTGTTTTTATAAATTAACATATGGATCTTACAACAGGCCTAGAGTTTGTTTCCACACTCACCTGAAAATAACCAGTTAAAGAATCTTGAGATGAATCCTTGCTGTTCACTCGAGTCACTGTCGCTGTCTTCTTCCTCCTCTTCCTCTTCTTCACTTTGTGTTCTGTCGTTCATGGTTAAACGTGTTTCTCATTCTGTTTATTTACAGTGAGTTCAGCGCGGCGGCTCAAGGCCTGTTTCTCCAGCTCTAATCTGCGGCCGGTGCTAAGAGGATTCACTGTCTGCGTTTCACATTAAAAGCACAAGAGCCCAAAGACCCACCGCTAAGAGGTAATAAAACAGACTACATTAAAGAAACACTGTAACTTTTTCACCTGCTTGTCTCCATGAAGATATTATTACCTGGCTGGAATGTTCCTCTGAAATTAAGGTTAGTCATCTCAGTGGTGTTAAATATGTGACACCACCGGGTTAAGTTACAGGTCGGATCTGTGAAGTAAGTAAATAAGTAAGTCTTTTATTTATATAGTGTTTTTCACAGACATATGTCACAAAGACGCTTTACAGAGAATTATTCAGCATTATTCAGTAGTAGTAGTGAACCAATCGGCACCATCGGTCCCTCTGACCACCACCAACACACACTCCACTTTCATACTAGGCAATGTGGGTGAAATGCCTTGCCTAAGGACACAACGACAGTTTTTGTGACTGGCGCCCCACTGTGGCACCTGATTTTCCCAGAGGTCTCCCATCCAAGTAAACCAGGCCTGGTCTTGTTTAGTTTCTGAGATCTGACAGGATCAGGCTTTGACAAACCAGTATGACCACACAAGCCAGTATGACCACTGTGGAGAAGGTGTATTGAGTTTAAAAACACAGTGGAGCACTTCTTATATTAGCACATGACATCACAAGGTGGAACCGGGTGTTTTCTGTTTGAGAGAAGAACTCAGCCTAAATCTGCAGGGTTTTTTTTTAAAATGTGTGAATGAAACAAAACACAACTCCAGGTCTGTTTGTGAAGAGGAAACAACAATATATCAGAAAATAGAGTAATATATTTCAGTACAATCTGCACTAAACCACGACTATTGACCAAACATATGCTTTTCTTTAACATTTTCTTTAACATTACCTTTTATTTTGCACGATCATAAATGATAAACTTTTGTGCCTTTGTTAAAATTAGTTTGTACGACCATAAATGATAAAAACAAAAAACAAATCAAAACTGGCATCTTGGCAAAACTAGCAAAAAAAAAAGAGAAGAAGATAAGAACTAAGAAAAAAGTGACTGTATTTCTGTTCAAGGGATTAGTTTATGGAACAACTTGAGTGATGATTTTATAAAGTCTAACAGTGTAGAAGCCTTAAAAAAAGAGTATAAAGTGTTATGTTGTTATGTATTGAAAGATATGGAGCTCTGGAATGAATGAATTATGCATTAAATTTTGTTTTAATTTATATTTTGTCTCTTATATGTACAGTGAGTCGTAAGTGAAGTTGTAAATGCAAATTTGTTTTTCATGCGCTGCTTTCTTTCTTGGAATTTTGTCATTGTTTAATAAGACTACTTTTGCTTTAGCTTGGACCTTTTCTTTCACGATCGATGTAGTTGTGGTTTGTTTTGTTTTTGTTTTGTAGAGCTGCAAAATTACCCAATTAAAAAAAAAAGAAAAAAAAAAGAAGTACAATCTGCATATACTCTTTGTCTTATAGCTGAATAAAACAACAGAACCCCAAATTATTCAGTAACTATCTATAATGTGTCATTCTAAGTTTTATCCAGCAGATGGCAGCAGACACCAATCTAATAACATTTCATTTTCCTCATTATTATTTGCCATTTAATAATCATTGCTTATGATGAAACAAAAAACGTGCCTCACAGTATGAAATACACAACACAAGTTAAAAAATAATCAAATGAAAAAAGTCATAGAAGTCTGCCAATAATAATAATGAGATGTATAAAGTGTCTTTTTCTGTGTCCGGTTTGCTCAATTTTCCTGTTCTGTTCCTGTCGTGCGCAATTGGCAAAAACATAATTTCAAAACCATTTGCCAGATGATCACCAAAAAGCAGCTAATCTCACTAATCTCGTGTTTGGTCTGCAGAGTCACGAGCCTAATTTGACATGGGGGGAGGAGGGTGAGAGAGGGAGGGAGGGGGGGGGGGTCAGGGGGCTCATTCACTGACCCGGGCCCGGGACAAAAGCTCTGACATGGCAACCCACCGAAACCAATCCAGACACATTAGTTTGTATTAAAAATGATGTAATTGTAAAGTAAATGTAAAGTAATTGTAAAGTTCTTGCAATGTTGCTACGGAAGAGTTTTCTGATACCAAACATTTACTAAGTTTTAATCAAGAAACAGATGTCTTATTTTTCCACTGTGACAAAATATTCAAAAATGTGTCCATATCTTTTGTTTAAGTTTCACTATGTAACTTTTTTGTCTATTCCTGCTTGTCTTGATGGAGATGTTATTGCTTTGTTTAGTCCGTTACGCAGTATGGGATTAATCCTAGACTAAAAACTGAAAACAGGTGACACTTTCAGGCCAAGTTACAGGTCAAATCTGTGGAGAGGCGACCCCACTCACGCTAAGTCTACATTTACATTGAAACAAATCACTGTATCGGAAATGATTTGTGTCCAGACATGTCGTTTCTGTGTCCGTAATCCTTCACTATCCACACAGCTTTGAGCGTATTTGTTTAGGTTTTACAGAAATTAAACTTAAAACCACATGACTAATTTGCATAAACTGAGTGCTCAAAAAAACAGTGTGCGCTGATGTGGTTCAGCTTCTGCCAGACTAAAGGACACGACTCAGTGGAATATGAGTGTTCTTTCTGTGACAGAGGGGTGTTCTGCTGATGGTGAGTCTGTTCTGTGTTTCTATCGTTGGAGATGGTTCATGTTAAACTTTTCAGAGATTATACATCTACAGGTCGTACACACAGACCGTATATATAAATGGACATATATTCTAGCCTCTCAGCATTTTGGCTATGAATTACTTTGTGGCGTGTAGACCTACATCAGCGTATCAGCGTTTTCAAGCGTCCACACAGTGTTGGGTCAGATCCATACTCAGATGAATTCGTGGGAGTTGGCGGCACCAGATCGTTCCGTCTCTGGATCGGATTAGTGTTGACGAACACGGCATCTGCAACGAAAACAACTCGAATATGTACTAGTGTGGATGGGGCCTGTTTGGAAACATGCAATGAGGTGTAGTTCCCGACACGGGGCTCACTGACTGACTGTAATAAAACTGTAAAAAATGTGCTGTTTGGAATAATCTTGAATTTGGAGCCTCATCTCTTCTAATCACATGTACCCAGTGCGCTCGGAGTTGTGTGTCAGGGCGGAAATGATGAAAACTGAGGCGTGGTTGTAATTGTTGATTAGCCGAACATAACGGAATACGACAATGACATGAAGATGAAGAAAACTGGGACATTTTCTTATTTTTCTTTGAT